ATGAAACAATAAAAATAGTGTTAAATTTAATATTATTATGAATTACGACGTATAATTTATAACCAAGTGATCAAATAATTTTAATTTTATAAATGATACGTAAGTTCCCTCTTCAGTCACAAACATCATATTTTAAATTCCCATGAGTAAATTTTTTTAAAAAATGGGACCTGCCAGTCTTTATCCGAAAATAAGGGGTACCTGGCAACAATTTTTTGAGAAGAGGAGGAGGAGGAGGATAACGGAGAAGAAATGTTAACGGAGAGAATGACGGATTGTCACCCCGGAGTCAGTTTTCGAATATCTTAAGGTACCTCAGAGTATATTTTGAAAAACAATGAGACCTGCTAGTTTTTATCTCAAAATTAGGGGTACTGAGTAGCAATTTTTTGAATGATAAACGAGTAGTCCGTACATAAGAAATGTAATTGCCATTTACGACCGACAAAGCCGATGGGCGTCTCCTTCAGCGCCAAATTGTTTGGACCGCTCAATCATTGGGCTTCCTTCGGCCCGGTTCTATCAAAGTTCAAAACCCGGCATATGTGATTTCATTTTCCGATGTCCATGCTAAAAAAATTCGCTCCATTCCTTTGACATTTAAATCAACTTGTATATTTGAATTTAAGTCATGTTCTCCTCAACTTATTTTTTATTTATTATTATTGGAACAAGATTACATATGTAGTTTTAAATATATACTACATTCAAAACAGATCAAAACTTATACCCTCATAACTAGCCTCTATCCAAGTTTAACTATTCTCACTCCAATCTATTAATCTACGTCGATTGACATAAATAATAAAGTCATGCAGATGAGAGAAAGCTAGAGTGAAGTTTGACAAAATTAAAGGGTAGGAAAGGAACAATTTTGTGCCTAATCGAGCATCGTAATGCTTCCTCCTTTCTATCAAGTCATTGTGAGAAAGATTTAAATAGAAATAAAATATATAAAAAGAATCAAAACATAACTTTCATATTTTTGATCTCTAAAATATGACCTAAAATGCCAACATATAATAATATAAAAAAATACTCCCTCCATCCCACTTTAGATTACAATATTCCTTTTTAGTTAAAATTAAGGAAGAGTCAAATCAATTTTTTTCCCCCAAATTACCCTCCAAACCCCCCAAATAGTGTGAATAGTGGCTGGCTAGAAAAAAAGGAGAGAGTAAAAGAGTCAAATCACTATAAAGTTATTGACTTTGTAATCCTTTTTGGGACAAAAATGTGATAGAATATTGTAATCTATTTCGGGACGGAGGGAGTATTGTGAATCTATACCACTTCAAAGATCAGTAAACTTATTTTAGAATGAAAATATAAATTATACCGAGTAATGTATTTTGGGTCGATTTCTTTTATGGAAGAAATTTTACCACAGTGAGAACTCCCATAAAAATTCTATTGCCCCCATTTGTGTCTGACGGGCCCCGGCCTGATATAATCCGGGTCGGGCATACAAAGGCCCAAGTCTTATGCTCCATATCGTCTCCTATAAGGCGTCCATACACGAATCTAACCATCATCTTCAACCTCTGCGCGGCTCTCTGGATTGACGATGGCAGAGATGGAAGAGAACGACGAGTTCTACCTGAGGTACTACGTCGGCCACAAGGGCAAGTTCGGGCACGAGTTTCTGGAGTTCGAGTTCCAGTCCGACGGCAAGCTTCGCTACGCCAACAACTCCAACTACAAGAATGACCGCATGATTCGCAAGGAGGTCTACCTCACCCCCTCCGTCCTCAATGAGTGCCGCCGTATCGTCGCCGACAGTGAGGTATTCATCCGCCAGAACGCTCGATTTCTCCCTACTCGTAGGTCAATTCGATTTCTAGGGTTTGTTTGCTCTTGTGTTGTTTTGGGGGTTTTGGTATGTTATACTCGAATAGATTGATTAAACTCGTGAGAACAGCCAAATCTTGATGCATTATGTTAATCGCACTAGAAGATGTTCTTTCTTATGTTTCATCAATAGATTATCTTGCATTTGATTTCAACTTACATGGGATCTTGGCTCTCTCTTCGTTGAGAAGGAATGCCGAATTCGTTATGCATAGCACAGTGCAGAGACTATTCCCTGTTGTGCTGATTCTGGGTATGTGTTGATAATAGATTATGCAAGAAGATGACAGCAACTGGCCTGAACCAGATCGCGTGGGGAGACAGGAGCTTGAGATTGTGATGAACAATCAGCACATATCTTTCACTACCTCTAAGATTGGTTCCCTTGTGGACGTGCAGGCCAGCAACGATCCGGAGGGCCTTCGCATCTTTTATTATCTCGTTCAGGTAAGCCATTTTGGAGATTTTGAGTTTTTTTCTACGCTGCCACATAATAAGCCTTGACAAATTCACACCATAGTTATTTAAGGCGCGATGCGCACCGATGCACAAAGTACCTCTAGCGCCTCGATGCGCGAGGCGCACTTGATGCGCGCGCATCACGAACACAATGCGCATATTAAGGCACCAGTAGAATCTTGAATATATAGTATATCTACATTAAGAATAATATATATAAAATTTTTAAAAGCATAATAAAGGTTTAGAAATCAATTAAGATTGAAAGTCACACATTGAACCATTGAGCATTGACAAAATTAAAAACCATAAAGTTCAAAGAGCAACAGAAGTCATAGACAAAAAGCTTTCAAAGAGCAACAAAATGATAGACAAAATCATTCCTATTTGTTTTTGAGACCCTCCGAGCATACTTCCATCCGGGATCATTAGAATTTGGGCCATCTTCCCCTTCTAAATTTGGAGATTCTTAAGTATTTGACAAATTAACTTGCCCAGTAGAAAGAAGAAAACCAGGTAGAGAAAAAAATAAAGTAAGAAGAGACGGGAAGGAGAGCAGATATCACCTGCTTGACTGCTTGACTGCTTCTGACTTCTGCCACTTGCGAGACGGGAGGAAGAGACGGGAAGGTGTGCCGCGGTTTGGAGGACTTGCGAGACTGGAGGAAGAGACGGGAAGTCCTACTCAAAGAAAAAGAAGAAGGTGCCGTTCCTTGGGGGTCGTAAAAGTTGGGAGGCCTTAGTCGTGTAATCTCGTTGGGGGTCGTAAAAATTGGGAGGGTTCAGTCGTAATAAATAAAGCTAATCCCTAAACCTAATTTTAAAAAAAACAGTCAACAGATGTTCACAAGGCGCGCTTTTTTGCGCATCAAGGCACTGCGCATAATGCACAGAGGCGCAGTGAGGTGCGCGCCTCATGAACTGCGCGTGCATCAGGACTGACGATGCACTCCCCCTGGCGCTTCGTACGCATCGCGCCTCAGGCACGCCTCAAGCGCGCTTTTCACAATTATGATTCACACATAGTATATGTAGAGATAATGCCAGACTTGAGATATTACTATATGGTTTCATAGAACAACCTACCACTTCACAAATTATACTATGTTCTAGGGAAAGCCATAGCAAAGCTTATGTAGTTTTTATATTTTCAATCTCAGAACCATATCAAATCAACACAAAATTGGACATAGTATAAACATGGAAATAGCTAATTCTCATCTCTCAAAATCGTCTCTTTGAATACATGCTTAAGGGTCCGTTTGGTGAGTTTTGGAGTTATGATAAGATATGGATTTTGAAATTTGGGAGAAATGGCATGAGATTTGAAATATAAAACAAAAGTGTTTGGAGACAACAGAAATGAAATCAAATCAGAGTAATAATTGTTTGGTGAGCAATTAAGAAATAAAAATCAAAGCGGACTGAAAAAACAAAAATAAAATTAGATGTGAAAAATACTCTGTACGAATGAAACCCTCTATATAAATAAAAACATGTTATGCTTTTTTAACGAAAAATCAACTGCAAATTTAAATTTTAAAAAATCAATCGAATGACCCATAACTTCAATTGGATACTAAAAAGAAAGATGAATACAAATAACTTGATAATGATTGGATAGGATGAGGAAGAGATAGGACTAGAAAATAGCAGAAAGAAGAGGATACGTGAATCAGCTCATTTCTTTTGAAATCGGCTACTTCAGTATCGGTAATTGAAGGGAGATATGGAGTATCCTTACTTTTGGAGATATCCAATATCTTGAGATTTCAAAGTCTGAATTCTTTTTATCTCACCAAACAACTTTCTTAAGAAATTGATATCTCGGATATGAAAACCCATATCTGTATTATTCACCAAACATACCCTAAAGAATTTGTTTCACTATATTATAACCCAAAAAGAGTTCTTTTTTTAAGCACTCTTCTCTCTAATAAACCTGTTTTAGTCTTTCTCAAGCTTTATTGTTACAGGTTAGTGTTTAATGAGTTGTGCAATTGTGACAACTCATTATAATTAAGGCATCATGTTTGATGATCAGTCATGTGTATTTAACTTTTAGTTTGAAGTTACATTTACATTTATCATGTATTATTACACATATAGCTGCTTTAAAAGTTGTCTAGTATCTTCTGAAATGCACGTATATACTGTTTTTTATTCATTTGTACCGTCTTTATAGTGTGAATTGCTTTAAATTTGTTTAGATTTTTCTCCTGGGAGATTATAGGTCTTGGGAAAGACCTTGAGATATCATTTTTCTATGAAACAGTTACAACATCAACCGAATGGGATTTCGGTTAACTTCTAACAAAAAAAGGATCCACATCTCCTATTTTTTTATCCCACCATAATGTTCCAATTTCCCTTCAAGGCATTATTGACGTAGTTCATATTATTTTTTTCTATGCTTCGCAAAAATGTCAAACACACGACTCTGGCGTCACTTCACAAAAGATGGATTCTTAATTATGTGTCTAATTAACATTATGTTCATGCAGGATCTGAAGTGCTTCGTCTTCTCTCTAATCTCCCTCCACTTCAAAATCAAACCCATATGATTTGGCATCGTTCATCTCCTCAATGCTGGCCTTTTGTTGAGTTTTTAGCCAGAGTTGGAAGAAATGCAGAAAGGGTCGTCTGTAATCGTGCAGTTTGAGTGGAATTGTCAAGAAAGCTAATGTCTTGTAGACCTTATTATAGTACCTTTAGCAGTTGGTTTTGGTTTCTTGGCTTCCTTCCATGCTTTTGTGCCCAAAGTCCAAACTTATGCTTAGCGAATCCATTGATTGCTCATCTAATGCTATGATTCTTACTTTTTGGTTTTTATCAAATTCTTGAAGTGCTTCTTTCCTTTTAAAAATAATTTTGAACGAAATCTTTGCGTATTTTGCTAACTTGTTTTTGAGCTTGAATACCCCCCCCTACCATGGGACTATTGATGCTTAGAAATGTGAGAGAACAGTTCTTGGTGTGTGATGCTCTATGTAATGTGTGAGTATCTATTGAATCAAGCCATGGGAAATGAAATGCACACGTTGGTATCCAAGGGTGATTCCGACATTTTCAAAAGATTTCCCCTCAGTTTTTCTAAAAGCCTCTTTTCTTGTCGTTTATACTGTCTCCAATAAGAATAAGAATTTTTATTTTTATTGTAGAGACACTCCTTATATTCTAAGTTTTTCTAGTTATTTCAGACTTTTGTTTTTTGTTAGTATCTCTTCACTCATAAATATTGTATTAATAAAAAGTTCTATTTGTTATTCCCTTTGTTCTAAATCAAGTTGTTTATTTACTACTTACATGGTTAATTTATATTCATTTTTATTTATTTATTTTGTTACTTATTTATTAAAATAATATAGTAATGTCATTTCTTGTTTCTTTCTTAGAGTTTTTTTGATGTATTTTTTCATATATAAATTTTATTTTTGAATTTCACTGTAATTCTCAAATAAATTATATTGAAAAGAACTTCAGTTAAACATTGTTAACTGAAGCAAACAATTTAAATTGATGAAATGCAAGGAGTACAAAACTATTACGTCATATATGATCTATATGAAAAATGATATTTGTATTCCATTTTTGCTATTGACATTCCAAAATATAGTATTCAATACTCGTGCCAATAGAGCATTTTGGAGGGTCAATTGTTGTTTTTTTTTATTTTTGGTCAAACGTCTACAACTTCTCTAAAGAAATTAAATATTATTTTGGAACAATAGAGTGCATATGTGGGCCCCATATTTAGATGAAGGTCATATTTCCACTTTTTCACTCTTCATTCACTCTATATAATAAACTTTTAACTAGTTTACTTTATCCTTTTCATCTTTATTTCTTCATAATCTAGCTAGTTTCTTCTATCAGTAAGGGGCTGTTTGGCAACTTCTGAATGGGTAAGTGCTGAACCAGTAAGAGGTCGGAATTATTAAGTGCTGAACTAGAAAGAGGTCTGAACCATTAAGAGCTAGTATATTGCTTAACTATTCAGAGGCAAATGTCTGATCAATTCAGATAACAGCTCTTAACCATTCAGACTCTGTATAATACTTAACCATTCAGAGACAAATCTCTTAACCATTCAGACATCTGAACCATTAAGAGGCTGAAACAAACAGTCTGAATCATTAAGTGCTGAATCATTCAGACATCTGAACCATTAAGAGGCTGAAACAAACAGCCCCTAAGTCTCACTTTAGACGTTAACGGACACAGTATTTTGGAAGAAAATTATTCATTTTGTAATTAAGTAGTTAAATGTTTAACTACTGTATGATCCACATTTGTAATTCTCTTGGATTTGAAGCCTTATCATATTGGAAGGAAACATGGGAAGGAGAGCTAACATTATGGACCTTGAAGAGGAGGTAAATATTTATATGCTTTTGCTACTCCATATTCACGAGGTAAAATCTTCCATACAATTTTTTACATCACACTTTTTTTACCTTGAAGAAAAGGTAAATACCCCGGAGTGTTTATTTTTTTGTAATGAAAAATATCTATCCGGTCACTCAAATATTCTGAAAATGGCCGAAACAACAGAGATTTTTTGTTTCTGTTATGTTATTTGCCCGTCACCGGGAAATTAGACTTCCTGGCCAAGGCTGTCCCCGGCGCCTCCTTCCCAATGCTCTTCTCCTTCCGGAGAGCAAAAGCTTCAAGATTTCACCTTTCATCCGCCTTTCACCTCCTCAAACCTCCGGCTTTCCACCTCTCCACCGCCGCCGAACCCCACCGCACAAGCCCGACAGAACCCCTGACCAAACTAGAGCTCAAAGCGCTCGTTCTCTCCCACTGCAACCACGGCCGGTTCCACAACCTCCTCCGCGGCGTCGTCGCCTCTCCCTCCGTCCTCCTCGCTGCCTGCAACAGCCTCAGATCCAATGCGGAGCCGCTCGATTTCGATTCCGTCTCCGCCCGATTCTTCTCCGTCGAAGAACTCGCGGCCCAAATCTCCGATGACCGGCTGGAAATCGAGTCCTGCTGCCGCCAAATCCCGCCGCCGGCGGGGAGAGGTAAGCCGCTTGTTCTTCCCAATTTGAAGCTCAAAGTTGTAATGGAAGCTATCAGGATGGTTCTAGAAGTCGTATATGATGATCGATTCGTCACCTTCTCCTATGGCGGCCGGGTCAATTTGGGCCGGCACACTGCAATTCGGTACCTGAAGAACTCAGTAGAAAACCCTAGCTGGTGGTTTACTGTTTCATTCAATCCCGAAAGATTCGGGATCAATCATATAACCAGGCTTTGCTTAGTCATAGAAGAGAAAATCAAAGACAAACCCTTGATTGATTTAGTGAAGAGATTGTTTCAATCTCAAGCTATTAGCATTGATTTTGGTGGTTTTTATTTAGGCAGAGGGCTTCCCCAAGAATGCAGGTTGAGCTCAATCTTCATCAACATTTATTTCAACTCGTTCGACAAGGAAATTCAAGAAATGAGGCAAAAAACAAATCTTGAAAATCCAAATCTGAAACTTGGGATTCGTTATGGTACCACATTCTATAAGCCCCCAAAGATATACACAGTTAGGTACCTGGATGAGATTCTTGTGATCACATCTGGAACAAAGCCGATGACAATGGATTTGAAAAGCCATGTCGTCAAGATTTTGGAGAAGAACTTGGGGTTGAGCATCAACAAAGCTGAAACGGTCATCCATAGCCCTGTTTCTGAAAAGATTGATTTTTTAGGAATGGAGCTTCAAGCTGTCACACCATCTGTCCTACATCCTCCAATGTCAGAGAAGGCAATGAGGGCAAGAAAAAAGCATCTGAGGCAGAGAGAGGTTCAGCTCATGGAACTGAGAAACCGGAGAGAGATGAACAGGAAGAAGTTGGGAATGAAGATACTAACCCACTCCTTCAAGAAACTGAAGCGCAGCGAAGATGGGTTCAAATTCGACTTCCAGATTGAAGATGAAGTGAGACAAGTTTTCAAGATATGGTCAGAAGAAGTCGTGAAACAGTTTTTAGAATCTGTTGATGGTCGCTGGGAATGGCACCGCCACCTGACTGCCGGTGATTTTCTTTCATTGGAAAGGATCAGAGACAAACTACCCCAAGAACTCATTCGCGCCTATGATGATTTCCAAGAACAGGTTGAGAAATTCTTGAATCCCACCAAAGCCAAGAAGGCAATAGAAAAGGAAGCAAGAAGATTGGAGGAAGAAGAGGAGAGGAAGTATTCCAAGAGAACAGTAGACGATTTGACAAAGCTATGCATAAAAGCCGATGCGCCGATAGAAGCCATAAGAAAAGCAGTCAAAATGACTGGTTTCACGAACCACATGGGCCGTCCCAGGCCAATTAGTTCACTTGTAGGTCTTGAAGATGTGGACATTGTCAAGTGGTACGCCGGAATAGGGAGAAGATGGCTTGAGTTCTTCTGCTGTTGTCACAACTTCAAGACNAAGCACGAGTCCACCAAGCGCGAAACCATTAGACACTTCACCAAAGATCTCAAGGTTTTGAATGTCAATGGAGACGAAGAAGTTCACTTCCCTGCAGAAAGGGAGGTGAAGACAATGGGAGATAAGGCATTGTCGGATCCAAACCCTGTGGATGGGGCCCTCACTATGGTCTGTTTGAGGTTGGCTTCCCATGAGCCTTCGCTTCTCTGTTCGGCTCATTTTTGCAACAGGGATGATACCACTGTCTACCGGATACGGATCAACCCGTTGGATGAAAATGGGGTGCCCGGAATGAGCTCGGTTCACTGTAGCTTGAACGGGAAGTGTCTCCCGTTATGCCCTGTCCACATAAGTGAACTGTACTTGGGTAAAATGAACCTTCAAGATGTTGATTGCAGCTTGGTTCTCAGTTTTTGAACTAATGTAGCTTTGATTCTTTGGGTTTCTGTCTCACATATTGAAATGTAGTAAAAGTAGTGGCAGTGGCTGAAGGTGACAGTCAAATTCTTCTAATTTTTTGAAATCAAAGGTCAAAAGAACCATTGTGATGTCCTACGTATAAGGTTGTTTTCGATATATTATATTGAAAAGCGATGGTTACAACTTATTCAAAAAAGAAATATTTAGAGCACGTATTAATTCTAAAAAGAGGGTCTCCATTCATTATTTTGAGATTGATCAACTATATACTTCAATACTATTTATACGGTGGGGTTCTAAGGTTTTGTGGTAGGTATAGAACATTTTATTCTAAAATTAACCCGATACATAAAAGCGATGGGTTTTGGATCTTTACTTTTTAGGAGTAATATTATGAAAACGTGTGAATTGATTTTTCTTTAAATTACTTTTTAAAAGCATAAATATGAAATACAAAAGTTTGGAAGAAGTCTCTAATAAAAAGGACCATGTGTGCATAATAAAAAGGACCATGAGTCCATTGTACTTGTGTTCATAAGTAAGAGATATAAATGATGTTTCGACTTTGCACTAGAAGATAGATTTTGAGCAACGCGGTAATTTATCTTTTAGAGCATTATAAGTGTATTTGGGTTTTCAACTTTTTTAATAGTCGTAGAATTTAAATTTGAACTATAATCTTAGTCTCACACATTAGCAAGATCCATTTTTGGCGTGTATGAGAGTACAAGGACTCCACTCTACACATCCATGCTACAAACAATCATTATTGATGGATCAAGTGGATACAATTGATTAATTAATCGTGCAATAATAACAAGAAAGCCACATTAAAACGACATAGGTAGTGACATTAGTGGGAAGCAAATGACAATGTAAATGAGTGACACAGAGTTCAACATGGGTATTTGAATACAAACACACAAGAGTTCAACCAAACGGCGTGTTAATGAAAAATCCCGCTAAATAAAATTCGGGGGGGGGGGGGTGTGTTTACTTGCCTGCAACACATTTGTATGCCCGTGACTAATCCTTTGATATGTATAAAAAAAATCATGAAAAGATGGTTCTTGCTGCTGCGAGATTCAAAATTAGGAATGATATTGGTTAATGGAAGTGGAACTCCGCCTATAGAGCCCCCAAATTTTCCCCTCATTTTTCCTTTCACGCAGACACAAAAACTCACACAAATATGTTACAGTATGTGTGTATTTGCGTGAAGGAAAGGGGGTAAGGTCCCGGGACACATTGGGACAATTTGGCATAGAAATGGGTGTGTGTGTGGGTGGGGTGGGGGTGGGGGGGTATGAACATATAGCTAATAGCTCACAATCCTTGTATGGATTCAAGATTATATTTTTCTCTAGGAGAGGTTTTGGGATCTTGGTTCTTCTGGTTTGGTGGCGGTTTCTTCATGACGACATCTAGAGCTTGGAGATATGTATAAGATGCATTCCTATTGGTTAGTGAGGTGGCAGAGCTGCTAATTTTGCTGGCCAGAAAACGACGAATCAGACCCCTGAGGAATGGCGCCATGGTGTCTGGTTCGTGCTCCAGGTAGTACATGATCCCTCCCATGCATGCACAGAACAATGCCACCTAAAGGTTATGAACCCAACTTGCATTTTGAAAACTTCTTTGAAATTTATACTAAACTTAGCATATTTAACTTGTTTGCCACATTAAGGTTAGGTGAAGCAATACCTCTGCATTCTTGAAATCGGGGATCAAATGGCGATTCACAAGAATATACCACAAAGATTCCCCAGCTCGGGGAAGAACATATAAGGCAAGTTCTGATCGTCTTGCTTTCTTCTCTAACAGTACAGACAGGCCGGATGCTGCTCCTGCAACCCAGTACACAAGCTTGTGGTCCCTCGTTGCAACCTTTCTATGCAAGCATATGACTGCCTTTTTTTTGTTGACACGTGAGAAAGGACCATTCAGTAGGTCTATGCCAAGTCTCAGAAACAAGAAAATATCAAAGATGGGAAACCAAGTACCTGAAAGAGCCCGACAAAAGCTGACAAAAAAGTTGTTGAACGGACAGCTCCAGTAAGAGCAAACCAACAGGTGCGAACAGGAGCAGCCATAAACTGTTTAGCACATTGAATACAAAGACAATAAGCAACTGATTGTTAAAAAATGAATGCATTTGAACGCATTAAAAGGCATTTGTTACATTTCAAATGTTGGGTTTCTTGGTAATGTTATTATATACCTAGAAATAAAAGGCATCATTGTTTTCCTTCTACAATATGGGTCTGTGAAAGTTCTTCGCAAGGTTTAGGGTGTGAAGCATATTCCATAGCATGTGAGAAAGTATTTTCCTTGTAAATTAAAATCACATTAGAAAAATTTCCCAAATATCTAATTATATTGTCCTATGAAGAAAAACCTTGCAAGAATTTTGTAACCTACTTTTGTGAAGGTGGCAACTGACTAATGCCCTCTAAAACTTAGCATTTAAGAGAATCATACAAGAGTGTGCATGTCATTCACAATCAAAGAACCCTAGCCTGATGATTGGCAAATTCTATGCACTGGTAACCAATAGACAACGAGAAATGCTAAATCAATAAACACAAAGGTTACAAAATACTCAATCTTACTATTTGTGCAAGTTTGTGTGTTTTGTGATCCTTGTGTTTGTGACTCTAGCATTTCTCTTATGATTCTGAAGATTCATAATGGAGGCAACACAATTATAAAAGACTCGACAAAAGTCACATAACATGTGACAGAGTCTTCTTATGATACTATAGACCAACAGTATCAATTAATACTCCGTATTAAGGAACTATAATGTACCCATGTGAACATAACCAATTCTCTATAATCAATCTGTATCATGCATGCACTACAATCTACACCTCTCTGAAGCTTCAGAAGTTCAATGACCATCAATGAAACATCAAGCAAAGAAACTAAAGAGTGATATATGGTTGAGTATGACTCATTTTAGAAGACAGAAGCAAGAAATTTTGATTTACCTTTTGCAAGTGCAGAACAACGAATGGAACAAAAGTCAAAGAGAAATAGAGAGGAAATGTCTTCCGAAAAGTAGCCGCTGTTGCGTTAGCATTGTGTGCCAAACATGAATTGGTGCCAGCATGAATCAGAGAACATGGAATAATGGAAGGAAACTCTTCCAACTTCACAGTGGTTGAAACCCTTCTCTGGGATAAATAAGCAGACAGTGCCCCAACACCTACTGGTGAGCCTCTGCAACAATCCTTAACGGCCTTATACACTGGTGCTGCAACTGGGCCAGTTTTCTGAATAAAGTCTTGATATGATTTTGGAAGGCTTTCAGGGCGCATGATAAATGCATACATAACCTGGATCCATTCATTAAGTGATAAACATTTTAAAAATGCAATATGTATGTACCAGATAGATAATCTACTTTGTATAAATTGATAAACCTTTTAAAATGCAATAGGTATATACCAGTTAGATAACAATATATCATGGCATCTATTTTGTGCATGTGTCAAGAAAACAAGAAATTCAGCGATTATCATATACTCCATCCGCCCCACTTCCCAATTAAATTCATCCCAAAACCATCCTTCCATTTCCTTTTTAAGAAAAGAGTTAAGTGATAAACGTTGTTCTCCTTTCAGAATATATCTCAACCACATATTTTTTATGTTCTTAATATCCATGCCAAAAGCAAGTATAAAGATCGATTAGAAATGGAGGTAACAGAACATAATACCTACAAAAGTCAATTTCTTAGTTTAATACGGTAAAAATTGATGTTACACTATGAAGAAACCTTTTGCATTTCCAATTCCACTCCCATCCATTCACCCAAACCTCAAAGGATAGGCATGTCCAAATACCTGGGCACAAGCTAATGAAAAGAGCAAGGAATCACCGTGACTCCAATGGCTTCCCCAGAGGTGAAATTTGTTCTTGGATTTAGCAGAGTTATATGCACACTGGTTGATTACATGTAACCATTTAACAAAAAATAAAAGAAATGAAGCCTTTGTTGTAAAGTTAGAAATACAATAACTGGTATCAATATCTATTTACCTGGGCTACCCTTGCTAGAAGATACAAAGCAAGTGTCCGTCTCCTGCTGGAATCATCTAGTGCTAAGATGGACAAACCTGCCACTGAACCTGCAAAGATTCTGTCCATCGTCCCCTTTAGTAAAGTTATGTTAATGCTATAAATTTAATAAAACACTCTGTATCAGATAGAGTTAACACAATAGAGTGTTTCTGCATGATAATATAAACTTACGCATTTAATGGCGTTTCTTTCTTTCGAATCTTCCTCAGCAAACACCTTAGAGCATGATAGGAACCAGTAAACCCCCCAAAGAGTAAGCCAATCCGACAAGCTTCCTCTCTCACAATCAGATCTTTCTCTGAGACGAGTTGCTATATAGAGTTCATAAAGTTATTATTCAAGCCAATTAAAGGGAAACTACTAAGGGTCTAAGGGGTTGATTTCTGATAAGTGATAACTAAATTACAGAAAACAAGTCAGTTGATTAAAGAGGATCTACCACTGTAAGACTTCTAATTTTCAACTCTTCAATTTCATAGTCAACAAATCAAATGAGTTGTGCTGGATATAGCATGCACTGATTGACTAATTCTCCTCAGATGGACATTAAAGTGATCAAATGAACATCTAACAAGTTCTTCAACCGAGAAGAAGGAAATTTTACCAATTTAAGAACTAGGGGGTCAATTTCTAAGAAGGAACAAAAAATGATGCCCAGCTAGTTATTCAATAGACCGATTAAATGGCACATATGAACTCAAATACACTGTGATAGGTGACGATTTTGGGTACCTTGAGGTCAAGGAGAGATGAATAGGACTTGCCGCGAGCGAGCTTGAAAGCGCGGAGGAGAATTCCGATGCCCACACGAACTCCGTAAGAGAGAAGGAAGCTCTGGCAAAGGTTGCCGATGGCATTGGCGACGCAGGATTCGTCGGCGTGGTCGCAAGGCGGGTGCACACCTTGCTCGCGATGCTGTCGACGCTGCAATTCCTCTATGGCCTCCCTGAGTCGATCCTCCGCCTCATGTAGGCGGCGCTCCGCAGCGAGACCGTCGTCTGAGGAGTCTACCGGCTGCGATGAAGATACAACCGACGAATTTGACTGCATTCTGCCGGGAGTGATTACGGTTCCCGCATCAGATCGAACTAGAAATTGGGACAGACAATGGAACCAACGCCAAACTAAACAGTACTCCCTACTAAAGCATACCCCAATATCTATAATATCTACTCCGTATTTTGTTATCTTTGGATAAAATAATATAAATTTGTCATTACTAATTATATACTCCGTATATATTTATTACTAATTTTATATATATATTGATGTAGTTTTTAAATATGTAATTTTTATTTTTTAATTTCGTACTATTTTTCATATAAAATACTTTGAAAAGTAATTTTAGTCAAATATTATAACGCGTAATGAAAGATAATTTTTGGACGGAGGGGGTATGTAATTTCCAGTATAATCTGATTTGAATTTTGAAGTTCTGATTTGATCTGGTTGAATCTGATCTGATTGGGTCTGATTTAATCTAATTTAATCTGATCTCATCTAATAGGATCTGATCTGATTAGATCTGATCTGATCAAATTGAATTTGATCTGATCTGATTTAGTTTGATCTAATCTAATTGAACTTGATCTGATTTTATTTGATTAGATCGGGTGTAAATAAATTTAAATTTTATTTAAATTAAACTTAAAATTATTGTAAAATTTAATAGTTTTAAAGTGTTACATTTCATGTATCGTAAAAAATTAAAATAAGAAGATTAGTTAATCATTGGTATATTTAAACTTTTTTGATATATGAAAATAGAATAATCAATTTTTATTTATATTGTAAAGAGAGTGTATTATTATTTGGTATTAAAATAACCAAATATTAGAAAAGACGAAGGTAGAGACGACTATAGGTAACCATTGGAAGCCATGAATCATAATTTAATAGAAAAAGACATGATGTTAGAGCATCTCCAACCTTGTTTACTATATTTGCTTGCTATTTTTATATTTTAACAAGTGAATAGTGATATAGCAAGTGATATTTTGATTCATTTTCCAACCATGACTTGTTAATTCATTCTACAACTCTTGACTTCTTATTATTTGAAGAGCTTGTTATATTTAGCAAATCAAAGTTATTTTTTGCCAAGCTTGCTAAAGTTTAAAACACCCATTGGAGAAGAGAAAAATGAGTTGACTTGCTATATTATGGCTTTTAGCAAGCCAAAGCAAGATGGTTGGAGATGCTCTTAGTATGTTTCGATGGATATTAGCTATGATGAGTGTTGCTAATAAATTGTCGACACTGATTATTACAACAGTAACTAACAATGAAATATGATGGGCTTGGACGGTAGGTTGTTAATTTGGGTTTTAAAATTACAATTATGAATAATGATATTTACACAACTACACATGTTTACATTAAGAAATGTTTGAATTAAATAACACTAAAATATAAGTCATTTGTCAATATATGACTGGACTTTTTTTATTTCATAAATACCACCTAATAATGTCTAGAAAGAGAAATAATATTCAATTATGGAGAACATTTACTTGAATAATGACTAATTGATAATGACTAAAAGTGCTGCATTGGAAAATAAAACCATATGATGATATTTATAAAAATTTATTATGTTTTAATGTTATTTAAGTAAATCTTCAACAAATATTTGTAAAAATAATAATTTTTAATTAAAAATTCATTAAGGACAATTTAATTAAAAATCTAGGCTTCGTTTGGTAACAGCGTTTTCGATTAGCGTTTTGGATAAAATTTTAATGGTGTAGATTAAATCTAAAAACGCTAACGCTAAAGGCTACCGTCGGATAACTTTTTGAAAACGCTAACGCTAATCTCTAACGCTGATGCCAAACGGGGCCCTAGACTATCAATTTTGAGGCAAAGATAGGTCCGGTTCTGTTGCCGCCTAGTCTTGCATGTATAATAAGGGCAGGAAGAAACACAGTGCTTCATGGCAACCGGAGAAGAGATATGGACGGAGGAATCTAAACCAGGGCAGATCGGATCTGTTAAGAATCGCCATCGCCGATCCAGATCCGAGGCATGTGACCGCTTCCCCCTTTCTTTTTCTTCACATATTTTCCCTGCCGTTTGATTTATGAATGCTCCATACTTAGCTTAACCATTCTCAGTTCCAACGCCGATTTTGATTGTCAGTTCTCAAGCATTTTATTGTAGTATATAATTGAGGGCAACAATACAATCCTCTGTTTTACTTTCCATTTTTCTTTCAACTATCAGTGGTTTCATTGTTGATGGGTTTATGTTCTCTATACCTAAGTTATTGCATGCCATTTTATTCCTCATCGATCATTTGTTCCCAGGACTTGAATAATGTGGGTGAGACACCGGGTTGGACTGCCAGAAAGAGGAAACTATATTTTGATCCGAATGTGGATGAGACGCCCGGTTGCACTGCCAGAAAGAGGCAACTACGTCTTGTGCCGAATGTGGATCAGACACCGGGTTGGACTCCTCCCAATGAGTGGAAACTAATCTTTGATCCGAATGTGGCTGCACAGGGTACACAATTCCAACATTCTTCATATCTGTGCGTAGGCAGGGACTGCTTAGACAGGAACTAGGCATACAGATTCAAAAATGAAAAAAAAAGGGAACCGAAGAAGTCTAGGGGATAAGTGGATGATATTTAGATAATTTCTTTTGTTGTTATATTATTTATCCGTCAATTATGTAATCTATACATTGTGTTAAATTTTTTTATTTAAAGCACTTCACTTCACTTCTTATGTGTCAATTTTTTGCAATTTGATATGTATGCTGGGTCAATAACACTTCATCCTTTGTGTATTTTTTTGAGGGTGTAAAGTGAGAAATATACCTATTTTGAGGGTGCAAAGTGTTATTGACCCATGTATGCCGGCTAGATGTTTGATACTAGCTACATTGCAGGTCTAAACTCATGAGAATTCAATACTTCTCTAATTTTAATTTTTTTGTCTCTAATCCTCTTTTCCTCGCCTTGATTGAGACCTACACTCTCATAACTTTATGTTTGTGGGAATGAATGCAATTTCTTGCTCTTCAAAGTTTTGTCTCACACACACACACCCTCTGAATTTTGTTCTTTGTAAAACTTATACAATTGCTGACTTCAAATGTTGCCTTTTGCGTGTGAAACACGAAGTCAGTTTATTCGTTGCTGACTATGATTATTTTCCAGAGTGGACTGCCTTTAGGTTGTTGATTTCCACAACAGATGATGCTGCCTTTAATCTTTACAAGCACATGAATAGTTTCAAGAAATATTATCTCACGAAGGAAAATGTTGAAGTGAATTTTCATTCTGTAGCTACTGGAGTCGGAATTGTAAGTAAAGTCTGAGTTTTATTCGCCATCTTTCTTTGACACATTTATGTTTCATGATTGTCTTGTTGAATTGGTTATGCTTGGGTACTGGATTGGGATGAAGGTTAAGTAGGGTTAGAGATTTAATTTATAATTGGTCTCTATGATTATGGGACATGTTTTTATCATCTGTAAACTATTCAGTTCAGTATGCAATAGTTCACTCTAGACTTTGTGGGTGGTATTGTCCCTTGAATGCTAAAGTTGTTTGGAGGCCTTGAAATCTTGCTAGGCTGTTAAGCCCTCTGCTCTTAGTCAGAATTATTATAAAGTTCTAGTTTAGTTTTATTTAAGATGCACGCTTGTATGTAGAATGTGACGGTAGTTGTGTTTAAAAAAACATGAAAATGATTTCATTTTGGCCTATTATAAAGGGTAAATAATTTCTTTTACATATGATTTCATATGTAATATTATATGAAATTGTTGAACACGGGTTATGGTATTAGTGAAAAGGGACTCTATACGCTCTGTGCTTCTGGCTCTTTTTGCTTTTGCGGTGCATCACCGACACCTTTTGCGCTCCATGCCTTACGACAAATGCGTCACAAGACTACTTGTACCGGCTGCACATGCAAAAAAGTTAATTATTCTATACACATTGAAGTCCCATCCGCGCAGCCTTAATATGTATCTAACAGGTGTGTAGTAAGCAGTCCTGGGATATTATCTATTCATATGTTATTATTAACTTTGCTAGTTCTTATTTTAACTATCAGGCATCTTAATAATTGTTGGCACACACTGTGTAGGTAACATGGCAGCTTTTTTCCCTGGTGATGTGATTGTTAATGTGGAAGGGGACCGTGAGTATGTACACAAAACAGTTGAGTCAGTTGTTTCTTATCTCGGAGAGTTTGGAGTTGATGAGAGCACGATGTTAGAGTTAAAAATTGGAGTAAGTTCAAATGTATAAAAATTGCTGGATCATATTATCTTGCCTATCCCTTAAAAAAGTATTCTCTGGCATGTAGTCACGTTTTTTAATGCGCATGGATACTCCACAGAAAGGCATTCGTTCATCATATCAGGGAATGTGTGTACCTGAAAAAACATATTCAGACGTGAAAGCTGAAGGAGAGTTTATGGTTAGTTTTCCCCCTTGGTGTGTTTCCATTCAGTGTGTTGGTTTTTGAGTATTGGTGTAGATGAACAGCACACTGTACAATCTTTATCTCCTTCGTGGAGCGTTGCAATATGTGGATTAGTCACTGGTTTGTTTTGTAGGCTCGCAAATGCATGTGAATTCCCCTGTCGTGTATTGATGATCTCATTGGTAAAGATGGTGGAAATATCAAAAAGATAGGGGAATCAAGTCCGGAGGTCTATGTTTCCCTGGAAACATTTACGCTTAAGGAAGTGATTATTCATATTGGGGGTAAACGTTATTCGGATGTTGAGGTTGCTGTGGATGTGATGGTTGTGGAAGACCCAATATGTTTTCGATGAACTTTGTATTTCATTTATTTCCAGCCTTACCTGTCCATGTGTTTATCGTGATTATTATTATTAGCATATCATTTCAATATAGTATGATATGAAGTCTATATAAAGAGAACGTATGGTCTGTGGTTTTAATTGACAAAGCGTGTTATTTATTTATTTATTTGCAGGGATTGATTCGAGACCGAAAGAAAGATTGACAATTTTTATTTTGTAAGCACGATTCATGGGGGAGTCTATGATTTTGCATGCTTTCATCTGTATTACTTGGGGGACGCAAACACTATTATCAATTGTTGCGGAAATTTATTACGTACGTAGTTACTAGTGTAGGATTAGGCGTTAAAATGTGATCGATTTAGATTAGTTTCTTTTTTGATGTCAAGCTAAATCAATTGCTATATGCAAAGTTTCTCTTGAGCTTCCATCTTTTCTTGCTTCTTGGGTTATATTTGGTCTAAAAAATGGTTCTTTTTTTTTCTTTTGAGGAAGTTATACGACTGACGTGATCTTTTCTCTCCTTTCCCGTCTCACAAATATGTCACAAACTAAGTTATTTGTTTAAAATTTATTTGTTAATTATTTACTCTCTACGTCCATAAATAAAATTTTTGTTCTGCATTACGATTTTTGATTGTAGTTATTTTAAAATCATTTTATATGAAAAATTATATGAAATTAAAAAATAAAAATTATATATTTAAAAATTACATGAAAGATCTATAAAACTAAAAGTGACATTACTATATTATTTTATCCAAGAGGGCATGAAAATAAGCTAACAAAATTAATAAAATTTGACTTTGTGTAAAGTGAATGAGAATTTTATTATTGTACCGCATTTTTGACCGTGACATTTGACTATACCAAGAATATAGAGCTTAGTGAAATTATACTTCTATTTTTCACTTAAATATGAGTATGACGAAATGTAAAAAATGAGATTATCTGTTATAAAATTTACTACTCTCTGTCTTGAATTAAATTGCATGTTTAGTATTTCCTCCGTCTTCAAACGTGGTTCTTTTTCTGTTTACGAAGCTTGACGGACTTTATTTTCAATTTAATTTATTTGATTATAAGTGTAAAATTAAAAAATAAAATTTATATATTTTTTAAAACAATATCAAAAGTTTTACAAAACAAGTAATGGTAAGATATACGGAGTATTATTTTATCAAATAAATAATGGAAATAAGTAAATAAAATGATTAAAGTTTGACCGTGTGAATATGAATTAGGAAGAACACTTTAGGACATCGTAAGTATTTATAGAGTCAATCTTTGTTCATTTTTTATTTTCGTTACTCATCCGATAAAAGATTATGGCAACGTTACCTTTTTCATTTAGTTTTTTAATATGTAACATTTATTTTTTGATCTACCTTAATTTTCTAAATTGTATTGAAAATAACTTAAGTAAAATATCGTAAACTTATAGATAGTTTAGATTGGGAACGAAAAATCAATATACTCTTTCTCTCCCAAAATGTTTAACACATTTCAAGCAATATATAAAATGTCACATCTTTTAAAATCGTTTTATTTATAAATCGATAAGAAATAAAAAAATTCAAAATATTTTACAAAACAGAGAATAATATTTTTATTTTGACATTTTCGGGAGGGAGGGAGTAAAGAGGAGGAAGAGTGAGGATGGAGAGGATTGTACAGTTTTGTTCATAATTTTACCGCTTTGTCTTCAACATCGGAATGACGGTCGCCGGAAGATTTGCATTTCTCTCATCTGTTACCATCAATTTTCTTTTCCTAAGCATTTTATTGCTCGCAGATTCAAGTTTAAGCATAAGATTTCCGGCTCGGGCCATCGAGTCTCCGCCGGATCCGTCAAATCTCCACCTCAAAACAGCTGTTTTTGCTCTGGGAAGTTTCTGGAGGTCCGAGGCGGTGTTTGGTTGCTTAGACGGCGTCGTCAGAACCTCCGCCGGATATGCCGGCGGCTCCAAAAGCAACCCCGAGTACCGCAACTTAGGCAACCACGCCGAGTGCGTTCAGGTAAATTTTCGGTTTTCTTAAGCGTGTGAATCTAATTCTCCATTTTCGCGCATAGATCAGAAACGTGTTTGGGGTAAAATTAGGTCATTTGATTGATCATGGGTTCGCCATTAGAGCTTAGATTTCCCGTGACAAATTTTCATAGAGGATAACAAATTTTCTCTGTGTAGAACACAAATTTGTCAATTGAGAGTGCTACATTTTGGGTGATTGGTGTTATTGAGTTATTGCCGAGTTATTGCTGAATGAGTTCTTAATATTTGAACATTCAGAGAAGTAGAGAAATAGACAAGGCAAGCTGCATATTGTGCTCTAGGATTCATTCGTGTCTGAATCATGTGCTGACAAGACAGCAAATGTTCATCAATGAACAACAATTACATGTTTTTTTACTTACTAGTTTCATCCTTCATTGCACAATGACTATCTTTTTTGGGGATCAAGCATGCAAATTAATAAAGGGCAACTCAATGCATGCATACCACACAACGAGGGTCGTGGGAAGAGGCACACCACAATGGTGTGATGTAGGCAAACTCTTTCCCTTGCATTTTTGCAAGAGGCTCCTATTCTAGGACTCAAACCCTTGATCATACAGCATCACCACATTAATCATACTGGGAAATGAACCAGCCAAATATCATATTCTTATTTAAAGAAGTAATATTATGCCCAAATTACATTTACTTAAGATGTTTGTCTTACCTACACATGTTGACGCATTTCAGCTTCTAACTCTGTGTGCTCTCTTCTGGACAAGTATATGGTCACTCCCTGCAATAGTTTCGTTTGTCTTTGATTTGTTTATTCATTATGTTTCTTCTTTTACCCTTGGTATATCCATTTGAAGCTATAAGAGAGGCCTAAACAGTACTCTGTAGTTCAAATCAAATTCATTTGAAGATGCACAATTTCTTTGATCTAACGTTTCTACTTTTCTTCCTCATGTGAGTTTCTATTTCATACCATTCTTTATCTAATATTGTGTAGATTGAATACGATTCCAGAATGATTAGTTTTAGACAACTCTTGGAGGTGTTCTGGTCAGGTCATGATTCTAGGCAAGTCTATGGGCAAGGTCCCGATGTAGGTAACCAGTACAGGTATCACTTCCAGTGACATTTCCTGGGGACTACAGAAATACATGTAATGCAAGCGCAAGTAGAGAGAGCTCAAACACTTTTGTCTAAAAGCAGGTCTATTATATTTACGAATGGAACTGAGGAGGTGAGGTTGGCTGGCCTCAGCAAAGAGCGAGAGCAATCAAGATCCAAAAGCAGCATTGTCACTACTCAAATTCAACAGCTTGAAACATTTCACCCTGCTGAGCCTGAACATCAGGTAATGCAGGATTAATCTGGTCTGTGGGCTGTTTTCTCTCCTAATTGGCCTGAAGTGTGAAATTATAAGAAAAGAAAACCAAATTGGAAGAAAATAAATTGTGAAATTGGAATAGGATAAAATTTGTAAAATAACAAAAAGATAAGTTCAATTCATTTTGTTTATTTATTTCTACTTTTCCTTTGTTTTTTTATTGTATTTTTTCAAGTAAAAACCATATACAATAAAATAGTTTTACAACAGCAAAACAACCGAATAGAATCCCGCATGTAGGGTCAGGGGTAAGTTACACAGACCTTACCCCTATTATAAAGTAGGGAGGTTTTGTTTCCAAGAGACCCCCGACTAAAAAAGAACCCTGCCTAAGAAGTACTGGCATACAAGAAAATAATTTGCCTCTTTCCCTAGCACTTTCCATGATCCAAACATACCTTATAGTTTAATTCAAAATTGAAGATTTTCCCACTGCAGAAATTTGAGCTGAAACGGAATTCATTCCTCCTCCAGTTGATTGGGAACATGGGTGAGGAAGAGCTTCAGAGATCAACATTGGCAGCAAAACTAAATGCCTATGCCGCAGAGCTTTGTCCACCTAGGATCCAAAGGCGAATCGATGCAAAAATTAAGGATATCATCAGAAAAGGATGGCCAGTTTTGAGAGACATATAGACACCATACATTGGCTAAGGCCTTGGGTTCTTCGGGTAAACTCCAATTCATGACATCTTTGCTTCAAAAAATCTATTAAGGAAAAAAAACTCTGTGCATCATTGTATCAACCCGTTAGTCATTGAACTATTGATATGCCAAATTGGTTTACAAAGCGTTAGCGTGACACCTTAGGAATACTCTTCATTTTCCCTTCTCTTAGTATATTTTACCTTTTTATTTTCCTTACCAAAATGGAAGGAAATAATTTTCCTTTCTCTTAGTATATTTTACCTTTTTATTTTCTTTTTCATCCACTTTTCTTTTCTTTTCCTCTTTAAACAGACAAGCAAAACGATTTTCCATCTTAATTTCTTTTCTCTTCCCTCTCAAATTTCTTGAACCAAACATAGTGTAAAGGAATTCGGAAAGAAAATAAAAGTAGATTTCTCTTCTTTTTCACCCCAAAGTATAAGGAAAGTTATTTTCCATCTTTTTAGTTTATTTTCTCGTCTTATTTTTTTTTCCTCTTTAACCAAATAAGAAACATTATTTTCTATTACATTTTCAATTGACTTAAATTTCAACACCTCGTGCATGATAAACAACGAATTAACACTTCAAGGAACTTGTATGGATGGACTGGAACTTGTAAAGACCATAAAGGACATACTTTTGTTTGTCCACAAGGCGACATTCGCAATGTGAGAACTTTATCTAGTGTGAAAATTCCTTGTGTGGCCCGAGACAATATCAAGCTTAAAATTATACCATGATTTATTGCTTACTTCCCTCAAAGCATGAGGGCACCCAATGCGGTTTTTCTCCCTCAATCTAAGTTGAAACTCTCCGTGTTGACTTGACATGGTTTTTAATGTAATGTTAAAATTCTTTTGACTTTATTGAAATGCCCTTCATCAAGTTACTCCATTCAGCGCCACATCTCGACATCACCACTTCTCCCCCAGATCTGAAGTCGTCCCCTGCCCATCCCTAATCCTTTGGGAAGAAGAAGGGGGGCTGACAAAAAAAGGATTAGGGATGAAGAACAGAGGAGGCGATGAGGAAGGGAAGGAGTTGGGGAAGAGGGGGTTGAAGAAGAAAAGAAGAAAAAACATCTTATTAACTGTTCAGGAGAAGTGTAAACGTATTAAATTAACAAACTTCAATCATCCTTGCAAAAAAAACAAACTTCAATCATTAATTCAATAAAAAAAATTGCTCGTGTATTACACACTCCGTATTAATAGTAGTCTTGCAAATAACTTTTTTTTAAAAAAATATTTTGTTGCATAAAGTATAAAAATGTACTGTAATACTCCACATAGCAATAAGAATTTCGGAGTATAATTTACAGAGTTTTATTTTCCGAAATATTTTAATACGTAGTAGTCGTCTTGCAAACAAAACCAGATATCCTAGCATTACCAAAACCAAAAATTAAAAAGAAAATTTGCCCAAAAATGGTCCTTTCATATGTTGCAAATTCTTTCGGAAGAATTTGCAACGTAAGAGAGCATGTGGAAAAATTTATCAAAAAATTATATAAAAAAACAAAATAAATGAAAGCAATCCAATTGTTATATATGTAGTAGACAATCTAAGCTCCGAAGATACTCAAAAGTCAAAACTCAAGAACATCGTACAGTTTAACTACTCGGGAGTACAAAAGATTTTGAGATATTACACTTATCAAACTCTTCCATAACAACGGTCTTCTTATCGTCCCCTGATATCAGCCTTGATTCCCTTCTCAATCCGTTTCACAACAAAGAACTGCCAGAGACGACATGAACAGTGAGGGATTGTTAAAAAACAATATTCCAAATTGTGAAGGCGTGATTTGAAAAGAAAAATACTCTGTAATCGCTACATCCCAATTTTTTTACTCAATTTTTCATTTTAGACGTCCTGAAAGACACTCCTTGCTTTATTTCGTTGTTGAATTATGAGCATGTGTGGCTCGTAAGATTTCACTTTCATCTAAGCAGATTCTAATCCTACTTCGATAAAGTTTTATGGATAAAGTTTTTTTTGGGGGGCAAATGGAGAAATAACATTACAGTACAGGTAAAAGTCCTTGAAGAAGTAACTTACCTGGAAAGCTAAGAGCAGAGGGATGAACAGTTTTCCTCTTTCATTAGGATTTGGTCCTTCAATCAACTCCTTGTCAACAAAAATACTTTGGCCTCCTCTTAATACAATCTCCGTGATGGTCTGAACAAGATCGGAGATCCAAGCAGTTCCATTTGGAAGGATCTGTGTATGATTGAACCCTTTTTTAGCAAAGCGAAGGTTTTTTCTCTTTAAAAAAACACGTGTAATTCATAAGAAAACGCAGCAAACCTTCTCATCACTTTCATTCTTGTTGCATCTTCCGCTGTTTTCAACCAACACATGTGGAATGGGAGTTCTCTGAAATCAAGATGACAAAAATGGGTCAATGGCAGCAACAACCAATTGGACCATCATATATGGGATTCGTGACAAAGCAGAATGCTAGTAGACACTCCACCATCTAACCATGGAACTTACAAACATTGATTGATAGCTAACCTAACCTTTCTAGTCCAGAATCAATAAAACTGCCATAAGAAATAGAACACATTTCTTTTACAAAAATATTTTACAGCCCCACTACACTATTTGTAATATGTTGCATGGATTCTTAAAATAAGTGTCACTTCTCATCCCCGAAACATCCGCACTTGAGAGGTCCCGACACCCAAAACCTTTGTAAAAATTGGAAAAATTGGTGTCTTCTTGTTCCCGACCTTGTCCCTGTATGGGTACCCGTCTCCATCTCCATGAAACTTAGTTTGCAAGGACTCCTCTAAGGGACTCCCTCTTATACTCCCCCTGACTCAAAATGAAGTCCTCATTCCACTTTTCACAGTCATGAGTGCAACACTTTGATCATTAACATAGAGGATATTTGTTTGAATATACTTACTTTGTTTTAAGTATGATAGTTTCAATACATTTTTTCTAAATCGTGTGATCATAGTTTACACATTTTCATTTATAACCAGGAAAATCAAATGGAACTCTATTTTGGAAACGGAAGGAGTGTTTAGCATATTAAATATGTGGATTAAAAGAGTGAATAATAAAAGAGACCTTGAATTCTGATTTCTTCATTTGGGCTCCCTGACGAACAACCTTCACCACAGCGGCTGACCTTTTGCTGGAATACTCTTCATAACTCAACCCATCAGGTGGTGACATTTGAGCATGAGTAAGCACGACAATACCTCTACGCCAAATTTGCTTTCCGAAAGCATTAGTAATGGCTTTCACAATTTGTGAATCCAAGTTGTCCACTCTATATACATCCAGGCGATCCACGTAGAGCAAAACATCTATTGTCTTGTTCAAAAGGAACCTATTTAGATTCAATCAGCAGATTTAGATTGCATTGAATGATTCAATAAATCCCTGTCCTACCCTATCCCCACACCCGCCCGCCCTCCAACCCAATAAAAAAAGCACAGTGAACTCGATGAAAAGCTACTTAAATAATCCATCCATCCCTAAAAGAAGTTATTGTTTGCTTTTTCAGGAAGTTCAAGAAAAATGAAATCGTATGATGGAGTTTTATGCATATGAGAAGAAATCATGTGAACTCACTTCTTTCTAGGACAATTTTAAAAAGAAGAGAAGAAGTTCTTCTAGAGATGGAGGGATAAATATTCTTGATTACTCGTATAAAAACACGCAAGTAGTTATATTTTAAATAAACATTTTAGATTATTCAACAGATTTAGCAACTTCTCCCACTTTACGCTTTACCAAACAGGGTCTAGAGATTTTTTTTAGAATAGTCACCTCTTTATGAGATCAAGGGCTTGGTCATTCACATATCCAGCTTCAACAAGCCCTGGAGTGTCAATAATGTTTAATGTGAACCCCGCACGTGAACGTGAGATCATTACAGGTCTTGGAGCTTCTGCCTGAAAAACATGATGTTCTTATTATTATTGCTGGCAAATGGGAAAGAACTCTTTTATTTTCTAAATTAAATGAGAGATAGGTAGATGCCTGGAAAGCACCCGCAGCAACTACTCTTTCACCTATGATTGAATTCAGAGTAGAAGATTTTCCAACGCCTCCTTTCCCCATCACCAAGATGGTCAAAGTGTTCACATTCTACCACAAAAAAAACACACACACACAGAATATTGTCAACAACCAGTGCCATTGGAATTTAAAAAACATAAAAAAATACAAACTCTACATTATAATTATATGGCATAGATTTATTTTTCACCACTGCAAATTTAACTTTTTTGTTTTTGGGTCCGTATCTGCTTTTGGTTAATGGTTATCAAGCAAGTTACATTCTTCTTTTAGTAGTTCTTCCTCAGTAATCAACCTCTGTTTGTTAAAAAAGAAATCAACTTATGCGGCTTGCAAAAAATGACTTCCCTCATCAACTTTGAGTAAGTGAGTAGGGACAAATCACAACAACAACAACAACCCAGTTAAATCCCACAAGAGTAGGGTCTGGGGAGGGTGTGTGTACGCAGACCTTGCCCCTACTTGAAAGTAGAGAGGCTGTTTCCAAAGAGACCCCCGGCTCAACGTCGAAAGTTGCATTGCTTGACTAACTGCTACTTCATTAATTAAAGAAGCGCAGACAGTTTAGAGATCCATTTTGAGTAGGGACAAATCAAAACTTGCTAAATTTCACTTGCAACTTATGGATTTCAAATTAGTAAGCATTTTTTAAGAGCAACAAGAAATCTGAAGTGAACATGTCAATCAGACCATTTAAAACTGAAGTCGACCGGGTGGCTAACAAGACAGAAAAGTAATCTAGAGAGGAAAAAAACACATTTATGCCTAATTACTACTCCCTTAATCCCGAAACTGTTTAATATTTTCTACTCAAGTTATTGCTAATTCAATTCATTTAAATATCAGTGTAGAACTATGTAATGAAAATGATTAAAGTAAATGATGAGTAAAGAAAGCATATATTAAAAGAGGAGTGAGCGGGACCTCCTGTTTCAAGTTCCCCAGCAATTCAAGTAACTTGGTCTGAGTGGCGGCAGGAAACTGCTGAATTCCAGCCCATTCTCTGACCAGTGAAGCCATTCTCCGAGCAGAGACGAGAAACCCTAGCTGGAATTAGAGCCACAATCAAACGAATCAGAGAACAAAAACGGATAAACTTCGGTACGAAAACCTAACTCTATAGCAGTACCAGATTTGAAATTGCAACTATAAACCCATCGAAAAGACGATGATTACGACACCTACTGGTTTCGTTTCGCGCCTCTGGATGATATAAACAACACAGGGAATAACTCGTTCAAGAAGACTTATTAGATAAGGTTCGAAGTGGAAGCAAGCAGAAATACCTGAGAGAGAGAGAGAGAAAGAGAGAGAAGGTGAATTGTTGGGCCTGGCAAATACTGAATGAGGCTTTTGAGAAATCATTGGATCCCATGCCGGCCACATTATTTACCACTTTGTTTCTACCAAAAAAAGTGAAAGTGTGAAAGATGGTACGTCTACCCAAAATTTGTACTTCATTGGATATGCACTAATATTTTGATAATTTATATTAATATTAAGTGTTGATGCATTAACAAAAATTTACACCGACATAAAGTATTAATGCGTTAACAAGAATTAGCATTACACCAACACAAAATGTTGGTACATCTCTGCGATATGCAAAATGGGGTACAAATTTTTAAGGTACAAATAGCATTATCCAAAAAAAGTCTATACTACTTTTATTTTGTTTACTCTTCCCGTCTCTGAAAGATTGTTACAATTTGATTATTTAGTTAAATTATAACACTCTATGAATATTTAATTATTTTAAATTATATTTAGTTTGTGATTAAATGGTGTCATATTTTGATCAAAAAAATTAAATTGTTCTGTAACAATCTTCTATGAACAGAGGGATTACTATGTTATTAGTTCTATTTTTTGTTGTATTTTTTAAAAATAAATTTTCAACTTAAGTTCATAGAGTAAACAAATTTTTATTTCCTTTTACTTTTGAAGATCATTACTATTTATTTTATAATACACTATTTCTCTAATGGTATGTTTGGAAAACTTAAAAAATTTGAATTTAGATTTAAGTTAAATTCTTCTCATTCAAGACAAAGCTTAATTTGAAATACATGCTCCTTCCCTTGTCATTTGAAATTCAAATTTTTAAATTTTGGAATTGAAATGCATGAATTGAAATGAAATGTTAGTTGCCAAACACTACCTAAAAGTAAAAGCAACCATTAACTATGTAGATAAACGACAATAATTTTGCAAATGAGGTGAATAATAATGGCAGTAACACAATTTGTGATGAACAATAACAACATTAGAGTAGATCATAACAGAAAAATAATATCATCGCAATAAGTACTAGTCACGAGGGAGAGTTGTGGATATTAATTTGATAGAAAACATTATTCATGTCACGAGGGACATAAACTATGATGAGACGGTAAGGTTTTAGTTTGAATTTTAAAATGAGATCAAATTAGTAAAGATTGTTTGCTTAAAAAATATGTAAACAATTTGAAATTATGTGGCAAAATATGTACAACTAAATAATTTAAAAAATTGGTAAAGTGATTCAAACAAATGAGAAATTTTAGAATAAAAAACAAAAGCGTCACAAAATGTATAAAATTATTAATTGCGAATTTTATTCTTTTTAATTATTTCAGACCATTTTCTTTTTAAATCAAATGATAAGTTTAACATTTTTTTTCTCAAAACAAAATTGTACGGAGTAACAAATTTATTTGTAAGTCCGTCGTCGAGACTGTGATAGAGGCGAAATCGACGCTCGCCGTAAGCGCGCGAAGATATGGAGAGGCTGAAATCCGCCGTACCCGACGGTCTCCGGCAGGGAATTTCAGCGAGCAGCGCCGATGACCTCCCCGCCACGTCATCGTCCCTACTCAACTTCTTCAACCGCATTCCCCTCTTTCACCAGGTAACCACAGCCATCCCCAACCATTTCCAATTGATTTATCGCATCAAAAGCTCAATTCCTGTTTAGCTCAATCAACCAGTTAATTTCCAATTTCAATTTCTGTTTTCTACTACTCTTTCTCAATTTTTTTTGGTCTCAGAAAAAGAGTAAAATTTGAAGAGAGAAAAAAAAGTTAATGTTCATCATATCAGATGTTTTTAAACAAAAAGTGTTAATGCAAGTTAAATATTTAAAATTAAGTTAACTAAGAAATAAATTTGAAAATATACAACAACAACAATCCAATATAACCCCAACTTCAAAGTTGGGGTCTTTATGCATTGCTTCATTTACTCCTCAAACAGAGAATAAGAAGCAAGGGAAGTTTCAATGCCTTTTTTATTTAGTCCATTATGTAGTCTAAAGTTGAAACTAAAACATTGTCAACTCTTTTTGCTTTATTTCAAATATATTTGAAAATGTACCCCAACATATATAAAAGTTGTAAATTTGAGGATTTGGATTCTTTTTTCATGGGAGTATTTATTATCTGTGGTGTCATGCATGGACTCCAGAGTATGCTAATCTCAGCTCTTCTTTGAAGTTTGTTAAGGATTTGACGGACCCAGAAATGGCTTTGTGTCGCAAGGACCCCAATGTTGCTTCTGATTTAAAGATTCGCGGTAACAAGTGCTTCTCCAGTGGAGATCACCGGAAAGCCTTGGATTTGTACACACAGGTGAGGACAAATGAGGAGGACTGTATATAACAAACCTTTCATATTTTTGATCTCACCAGTGTTCAATAAAACATGGAACTGCAAACCAACATTTAAGGATTTGTATTTCTATGTTGTTAGGTTAATCCTTCATGGAAGAACTTTGTTACACTTGCTGAGCAATCTTAATTTACAGCCAAAAGAGTTGCTTCATGTTTGTTTTCTTTTTGTAATTTGATGATCACTTTTCATATATTAAACTTGTTTTTATAATTTGATTTTCATGAGTGTAACAGGCATTGCGATTTGCTCCAACTAGTGATGATAGGGAGAAAACCCTAGCTGCAACACTCTATGTGAATCGTGCATCTGCATTGCATGTGAGTCCAAAATATAAATGTCTAATATCAATTGTTTTTCCTACAAATATTACATATGCCTGACTGTTTTCATATTGGCTTTAATGATCACTTAATATGGATCTTTCTCCTACTGGATTTCAATGAGAGAAAAAAGATTATGTTTTTTCTGGAAAATTGGATATTTTGTTTTTTAGTGAACCAAGAAGCATAGTTATCAATGTATGTTTGAGTTTACCATCTTTCTGTTGCCAGTTCTTTTAAATGATTACATTACTTATAACAATGTGTGCTTCAATAATTACATTACTTATAACAATGTGTGCTTCAATAATGGCCAGAAAATGGGACTCGTTCAAGAGTGTTTACAAGATTGTGGACGGGCTATTGTGATATCTCCCACTTATGCTAAGGTGTGTTTTGTGTGTACACTTTCACTCTTGTCTGATCTTATTTTTTGAATTATTGCATGTTAATTCATTTCTTTCGTATTTGGTTGCCATGATGATCTTTTCAGGCATGGTTCAGGAGAGGTAAAGCAAATGCTTCATTGAGAAAGTACGAGGAGGCCATCCAAGATCTCAATGTTTCTCTAAAGATGGAAGGGTCTCTGAGTGGAAAGAGGCAAATTGAAGGTGAACTGGAGATTATTTTGGACCAGCATAAGTTGATGCACAGTTCATCGGATATGTCCAAACAGAATGAGTCAGATGCTAGGTATATTAACTCTATCCTGTAAAATTCTAATTCAATATTATTAGAGAAAACTACCTAACTAAGACAAAAACATGCTCCATATACCAAATAAGGACCTATAATGCCATAGCGTGTCAATATATAATGCCAAAAACACTGTCAAATGCCAACATACAGTGCCAACTTTTGGCATTGCACAGTGTCAATGCTCCTATTTATGGGATAAAAACATAGTAGGTCCTATTTTGGTATAAGTTTAATGTTTTGGTTCTATTTAAGTAGATTTGTTATATTATTATACCTTTTTCATGTTGCGTTTTGAAGTTGTTACAAATTGACGTTAATCCATCGGACATGACAGTTCACCCACACCTATATCACGTGGGATTCGTTGGTCGGTGGACTTGGCTTGGCATCACGAGCCTAACTAATAGTAAAACGGGATTGGTATAGTCTATATTGGGCCGGCCGGTCCCAATATACCCATCAAAGAGTTATTTAGTATTTATTGTTTATTTCTGTCACAGTTGGTATTCGATTATTTCGTTTTGATAGAATATAATTTTGCAGTAGAATTTGTTTGTTTTTAGATAATGGAATAAACTGAAATTAGGGATTCAAGCAACCACAAAACACTAGTACATAAGCATGATTTCTGAAAAATATGGTATTATCTAGAGATCTTTTTTTAGGAAATCATTTTTTTTCTTCTTTCAAATGAGCCTGGAGTTTCATTGAAGTATAACAAAGACAAAGTTGAGGTTGCTGATTTGTGCTTGTTGGGAAAAGCCCCCCAAGTCCCACGCCGCAACGTAATAGAGAGATTGACTCATATTTAAATGTTAAACACACTCCATTAGTATGAGGCCTTTTGGGAACTGCCAAAAACAAATCTTTGAGTGTTTAGCCCAAAACGGACAATATCATACTAATGCAGAGTGGGCTGAGGTACACGCACTCCCAACAGTGCTGAACACCAATTTAAACTTTTAGAAAACATGATGGTAAAAGTTAGATGCGGTCAACATGGTTTCATTAGATTCATTTAAATCACCTTTAATGACTTGATTCTGATTTTTATAATCCATTACACTCCTTTCTTATTTGCTTTCTTATAATTGTAGACCTTATGTGACAGATGAGGCCGACCAAGCAAATGTGGAATGTGTGCCTTTTTCAACTAAAGGGAGGGGAATGGTATCTCGCACCGATATTCATCTCGCCTCTTTGGTTCATAAAGAAGATCCCTATGCAGCGGTAATAGCCAACATTCATTTTTTTTGTGGTGATAAAAAACTCTACATTTTTATTGGGCTGTCCTAGGCTTTGTTTGTTTGGAGAAGAATATTTTTCTGGAAATTGTTTAAAATATTTTCTGGGGTTCGGCACTGGAAAGTATATTCAAGGAACATGATTTCTCATTTTGCAAATGGAAAGTAATTTTCTCAAAACATTTCTGTATTTTCTTTCTTTGCGGGCCAAATACTATACACTCTTTGTCCCAAAAAAGTGTCATGGGTCTTATTTAAGCAAAATTAATCTTCATTATATTTAAAGTATTTTTTTTCTAAAATAAAGCATTACAAACAAGTTGAATATGTCAAATTTTGTTAAATTAACAAATAAATTTTAAAATAAAGCTAGAATTGATGGTTTTCATTAGTTGTACTTCAATAAAACTAAATTGTTGTACCTTAATGAAATATGATTCTTTTTTTGGGATGAACCGATGAAGGTAGTATTAATCATGAAACAAATTAATTTTCAGGAAAACATTTTCCACGAAGAAGTTCTTCTCAACACTATCTATTTTCATCTAAACAAATGGAGCCTTAACATATCAGCAATGATCAAGGGAATTGATGATTTACTTTTTTACTGGAACTACACATCATCACATTTGATGGTTGACACTTGACATTCATTCTTAATCACGGCAAAAGCTTTATGTAGATCATCTTGAAGACCTACCGGGAGACCAACTGTCATTTCTGCTTCATTGAGCTACCAGCAAATGCAATTCCCTGTGATTTTTGCTCTATACCGTTATATTGCTCTAGGCGATGCCAATTAGTATCAGGGGGAAAAGTGTTCTGCAAAACTCCAAGGAAAGCTAGCTGCCATGAAGGCATACCAGATGAACTTGAAAAATACATTTCACAATGTATTTCAGGTTTTTCAGCTGGTAATCCCGATCGATGTACGGATCATATTCCTGAGCATAGACATGAATGTCAAGGCGCTCATTGGCCTTCAGTATTGCCCTCAGATGTAGTTTTGGCTGGTCGAGTCATTGTGAAATTTATAGAGCAGCAGAAACATTCATGTGGTGTTTCAAACCTCATAGCAGTTTTGGTATATGTGCAGAATAATTTGCTTATCTTCAAGGCTACGTTTGGAATACAAAAAAATAGTAGGGAAATGAAAAATAAATGCTAAATGTTGATATTTAATGTTTGGTTTTACCTTCAAAAATACAAATGAAAATCACATTTGATTTCTTAAAAATTTACATATATTCATAGATTTTCTTAACTTTTTATAATATACATAATTAAATGAACAAGTTCGAACAAATATTTATAATTGATCTGTTGAATTTGAACTGTTTTTAATTTTTAGATTGTCCTTCAAAAATTTTCATTAATTTTCTTTCATATTTCTTTACATTGCATTTCCTTTACGGCTTAAGGCATGTTTGGAAACCAAAAAATGGTAGGGAATGCAAACAAATGCCAAGGAAAATGGTTTTTCAATGTTTGGTTTTATGTTGAGAACTTCCAAGGAAAATCAAATCTGCTTGTCTATAGGATAGAAATATATAAGTACATTGAACTCGAACGAATATTTAGAATAGGTTTATTGTGTTTGAACCAATTTCTCATTTCACCCATTTTTTGTATCCTTGAAAACTTCCCCTAGTATTTTCCCTGTTTGAAACGGACCCTTACAGTTTGGATTAGGAAAGAAGCTAATGATGCAACTTGTGTAGGATCTCTGCCACAATTATGTACATCTGCCTCCTGAAACTAAACTGGAGTTGCATATATACTCAATCGTTCTGCTGAACTGTCTTCAGAATTCCTATGCACTAAAACTACCAATGACAGGGATGATCATTTCACAGGTAGTACCTCATAAATATATAAAAAAAATCAGTCCAAATTCCAAAAGTTGCTCCAGCACTTTGAAAATTAAACTATTGCTTGAAGTTTCATTGTCTTCTTGCAGGTGGTTATACTTCTATCACAAATCAGAGTGAATTCAATGGCTATTGCCAGAATGAAATCTTTTGATATGAAAGGGCTTTCAGATGTGCATGGGAATGCTTTAACCAGCATTGTAGAACAGGTAAAAGGTCAATCTTGTCTTAGTCTCTAATCTTTTCTGCATCTCTCATGGTGTGTTTGGATCTCAGAAAATATTATGGGAAAAAAAAAGTTTCACGTGTTTCGTTTTAAATTGGATAATAATACGCCGTTTATGATTAGTGCAATTAATTTTTTTAACAACCCCAGTATAATTCTGACTCTAATGAGGTCTGGGGTCAAGGGTTAAGCTGTCTTCCCTGTGTAAAAGACTTAGAGACTGTCTCCTTTAGATCCTGGATAGATGCATTGCTGCATTTACTACCCAAACTTCATAGTAAGAAACATGGACAATTTAATCATAATGTGCCATTTAGATTTTGTCCATTATTTTCCTAAAGCGAAAACATTATGTGCAATAAGTTTTTTCATATGCTTAAATTTCTTAGTCTATTACATAATTGATGTTGCCATTTGCAAGACTAATATGCAATCATGGAGCATGGCATATCTTTTACTGAATTAAACCAATATTTTATTTCCCCCCAAACTTTCCTTCCTGCCTTACTTCCCTAAGGTTTTCCTTTCTATTTGCTTTGCTTGGAATCGGTAGAGTTCCAAACCTAGTTTCATGTGGTTACACCTTAACAAAGACTACTCCCTATTTTTTTGTAGGATTCACTTGAAGAGTATTTCATTCTATCTTTTTTTTGTTATTTAGGTCAAGGTTGGTCAAGCTATATATTTGGAGGGTAGTATGTTTAACCATTCTTGTAGGCCAAATGCACATGCTTACTTTCTTTCACGCACTCTTTATGTGCGCACAACTGAAACTGTTGCAGCAGGATCTGAACTTGAAATCTCTTATGGACCCCAGGTACCTGCTTTTAGTTGATAATAATGTTTTTGAAGATATACTAAAAGCTCTGTTTGTTTACAATAAATTATATCCATTGAATTTTTTTTCTTATTTTATTGTGTTTGATGCAATAATACATTTTCTTATTCTTACAAGGATTTTCATTGTTTGGCACCAGAAAACAATTTCATATGATGGAAATCATTTAATCAATTCTTAAGGTTAGATTAGGGCCTCTATAAATTCTAGGAGAATAAAATAGCCATGGAAATAAAAGAAAAATGTAGATGGAAAAGAAATTTGGGAGAAAACAATTGACTAAGAAATTTAACAACCCAGTATAATCCCAACTTCATTGGGTGTTGAGATGTACACAAACCAGTATAATCCCAGCTTAAAGCCTTAATGTGCCATTTTGATTTAGTCCGTTATTTACCCAAAGCTAAAACATTGTCATATACCCAAAGTCTATCATGTTTTCCAAGGTACTATATAAAAAAACTATCTTCCTTCCCTCTTTCCAAACATAGCTTGACTTTGTGGAACACAAATTCCCATTTTGAAAACAGGAGGTCTTAATCTTGAAAGTGTTTTGTGCTTCTCTTGCTGGCTGAACATCATATTATACATAGAAAATTGTGTACTTGTTTTAAAGGAAAACATCACGACCAGAACAACAACAATCCAGTATAATCTAAACTCAATTGTGGTCTCGGGGTTCAAGATGCACACATAGAGGCTTCCATTACACTTAATGCATTGCTGCGCTTACTGCCCAAAACTTCATAGAAAGTAAGAAGTTCAATATCCCATTTTTATTAAGTCAAATATTTACGAAGTTCAAAACATTTTCTTTGAAAACAGTTCCATGGAAATGATATTTTTGGAAACAAATAGAGCCTAAATATTGGGATTACTCAGATTTTCCATTATTAACTCACTTTTTAATGTTTTCGAAGCATGTGTCTCTAGACATTAAAATGTTTAAGTACAATTCATAATTCCTAATATGCTACTACCCAAGCTCTGATAGGCCATTGGTGATTAGGAACTAGAAAACGGACTTCTCACAACCAGATCAATGGTGCAACATTATTTATTTCTTGTAGGGCTCAAGAAATTTTAGAAAAAGGTTACAGAAAGTGTTCTGTTTTCCTAGTTTAGTCGTGATGTGTCTATCTGTCTCTGTCGTTGGTTATTAAACTTTCTTGTATGACTATTATTCTTTTTCCCAAACGTGCTGGTTTAAAGGTAGGGGAGTGGGACTACAAAGACCGCCAGAAGATCTTGAGAGAACATTACTCATTTGACTGTCAATGTAGAGGCTGTTCGCAACTAAATCTATCTGACCTCAGTATTAATGCTTACAAGTGTGCTAAACAAGATTGTGAAGGCGTGGTCCTTGACTGCACACTTGCTAACTATGTGAAACAAAAAGTGGACCCCATCTCTCGTGTCCTGAGCATTCCCTACACTCAGAAGCAGGTACTTTCTATATGGCTAAAATATGGAGGATAAATATCCAAAAATGGTGTAAACTTTTCACTGTTGGTCACACGAATGCTAGGTACCAACCTTACCATACTACCATCTACTTTTGGTTTCTGACTTTCGTTTCTCTGCTGTTAGTGTAGGACTACGGATTTCTTGGCACTTTTGGTCATCCTAGTCACTTATCCAACTGATTTTTGTACAGTTTCTGCTTGGTTTTTTCGTATAAGTGACCTAAAACGCGGTAAGGACCAAAAGTGACACAAAATTTAAGGTCGTGCACTCAACGTAAACGGGCAACTCCGTAAACATCTTCGCTGAGTGAGGGCTCGGGGAAGGGTCCCACTATAAGGGCATGATGTTGGTTACCTAACCTTGAGTTTCAAGAGCCTTCTTCTTAGACTCTAACCTAAACACCTCCACCGGTGTGTCATAAAAGTCTATACCAAAAGTGGGAATGACATAATAGTCATGAGACCAAACATGGAATTTTTTCTATATAACCGAAAGTTATTGGTGTTTGGCAAAATTTTTTAGCCTTAAAACCATTTGGTGACAATCTGGCCTGGCTTCCCTCGTGATGGTGATAATAAAGGTTTCACTTTAAACTTATGTTGATGAGTACGTACATAAGTACATTTTACATTTGCTTATTTTCAGTATCTTGTTCTTCTTGTCTTTGTTGTTGTCATCACTCATCATATTTTCATAGCTTTTCTCTTGGCATGTGAAGGTCGAAAAAGGTGGACATGATGGAATTATTGGTGCGGCAAAATATACGATTCATAAACCAGATTATCATCTTAATCCTCAACATTGCTTGAATTGTGGCTCTTATTGTGATCTAGAAGCTGCTTCTGCTGCAATCAGCAAAGCCCAGAGTTGTCTCAGGCGGTACAACACACTTTCTCATGCCTTTATTTATATATATGGAATTGACTCATAAGTATATTTGCCCTATATATAGGCTGCAAGATGCAATAAGTTCCTCTAATGTTCCTGCTGAAGTACTTTCCAATGCTCTGAAGGTTTCAAATCTTCTGAGATCAACATTGCATCCATGCAATAAGAGAATTGCAGAGGTGAATGACTCACATCTCCTTAATGGCTATCAAATTTTAAAAAGCAAAGTTGATGTATTGTCATCTATAAGTCTTAGGATTTGTTTGGAACTCGGAAAATGTCAAAGAGAAAGAAAACATGGAGGAAAATAGCTGTGAAATAAGAAATTTAAAAGGGAAATACGAGTTAAAAGATTGTCTCAAACCCAATAAATCAAATTAAGTTTTTCACTCAAATTCATTTTGTTGATATATTTATGTTATAAAAAGATTAAGAAATCTAAACATATGTATGCTTTTAATTAAATTCAATATTCTTTGTATTATTCAAGGTGAAACAAATGATTTTTTATCTTCGGCATTTATCTTTCTTTTCTCTACCATTTTACAACTCCAAAAGCAGCTTTTACCCATGAAAAGTAGTCTTTTTCTGTTAGTGTTCTGAGGAGAGAACTTCATTATTTTTATCTACTCCGTATAAGCTGTAATACTTGTGATTCATTGTCCCATGTGGGGTTTTACTGAGTGTGTTGTTGTACATGTGATTCATTGTTTCAGGTTGAAGATAATATTGCACAGGCAATGTGCTTGGTTGGTGATCCACGAGCTGCAGTTGATCATTGTATAGTTTCAATCAAGGTACAACCTTGTCATTCTTTTCATTTTAAAAATGTAATGGGAAAATGGAAATTCCCAGTCAGGTGAGGTTATCAGGACTAGGAAAATGCTATGCTATTATTAAGTCATCCCACATTGATAAAATAAATAAATAAATAAAACTAAGTCGACATATAGGGCATTGGGTTAATCTTTTATTATGCTTACTTTTTAGGATGAAACCTTACGTTTTATTATGTCAATAGAGCATGCTAATCTCAAACGACCAATTGCCTTTGAGCTATTCTTATTAGATTGACCTTTTTACCATTGAATTAAACAACAAACCCAATAGAATCCCACAAGACAGTAGGGCCCGGGGAGGGTGTGTGCACCCATACCTTACCCCTACTTGGAAGTATAGAGGGCGTTCCTAAGAGACCCCTGCTCAACACAAACTGAACTCCAAGACCATGACACAAATTGACATTTTACCATTGAACTCCAAAATCTAATACTCCGTATGTAATACTTGTTTTGACTTTTGACGGATGTGTGTGTTATCAAGAATAGAATGTCTAATTAGTAATTACCTTGTGAGTTTTGGCTATGCGCTCTATGAATACGCCACATACTTTTACCACATTATTATAAATTCTCATTGGAATTTGAATGTCAATCTCAGATCCTCGAAAAACTCTATGATCCCAATCACATTGTTATCGGATACGAATTGGTTAAACTTGGAACCATTCAAATGCAACTTGGCGACTGCAATGCTGCCATCACTATAAAGAGAGCATCAGATATTTTTTCATGGCATTTTGGATCTTATTTGGACATCATATTCCCTTATTTGCAACACGTTCGGCTAGAAGCTGATAGTCTCCTACTATGATTGCCAACACTTGTGTAACCAGTTCCACTTTCCTTTTTATGCTATCCAAAAATTTCTTCCCGGTTTCCTATTTTGGAATTTTTTTTAATGAATATACCATTACACTCCACTTTTCATTTACACTATTCACCCCCACCATTCTTGTTTTTGTGTTCTTACTTTATTCGTGCTACTGTGTTTTTTGTCTATGTTTTTGTATTTGAGCCTATGAAGGTCTTTTGGAAACCGCCTCTATTTTTGGAGAGTATATATATGGTAGAGCTGGCCGTACTAGAAATAAGGTATAACCGAGTAGTATTCACTTTGAAGTAAGATATCATTCCCGCACAAACATAAGTGTTCATTTGAAATAACGCAGTACTCATTCTAAAATAACGTAGTACTTATTTTGAAATAACGAATTACTCATTTTCATACATTTGTTCAATATAATTATTATATTTATTTATAAATAATGTAGTGTTCATTCTAAGACAAAGTGGTCTTCATTTTTAAATAAGGTTGTGCTCATTCTCAAGTAAAGTGCAATTCAATCCTTTCACATTTAAAAAATTTGGTGTAATTAATCTTACTATCATCATTCTCTGCATAAAAGTCAAAATAAGAACCGTTTTATAAGATGGAGAGAGTATGATTTATCAATTCTTTTTGGGACTCTTTAGGCAAATACTTCTTTAGTCCAAACTCCAAAATAAATGTGATAATTTACCTCTTGCCATTACGGAGTAAACTTTATGCAGTATTTACATTTGACATTAAATTTTTATAATCTTACCCTATAAAATTTTACTCCGTATAATATAAAATTACTTTTGATAAGTTTATATTGGTATAATATTTCAAATTTACATTTTTTATATCGTAAAAAACAACCTATACCAAGTTTAATGAAATCCAGAGTATGAATGTAAAAGTCAAATTTTCACCTTTACTTTCGCAAGAGGGAATAACATGAAAATTGCAACTTTATGAACTTGGACACTTTTTGTATAAAATAAGTTAAAAGACACTTCTGAAAGGATACATTATTCTTAAAAACAATATCTAAGCCACTTCTCAAAGGATACATTATTCTTAAGAACAATATCTAAATTAAAAGCATCGTTCTCTTAATATTTATACTAGAGTCATGCTAGATATACCTCATTTGTACATTATATATCCTGGTCATTCGATATTTATCCACTCTCTAATTCTTTTATTTACATTTATTATTGTGTGGTGTACTCCTATACCATTTTATTCACCAAAAGAAAAAAACTGTATTACTTTTTATCATTGTTCACCCATTCAATAAGCTGCATTAGAGTACATCCAAACAGACCCTAAGATATGACCCTTATATGGGGAGTGACCTAAAAGTCAATTTACATTGTAATTTCAAAAAATTAAAATTCTGAAAAAGGTAAATAGAATAAGCAAATAAATCATTGTATAAAATCAATCATTCGTTAATAGTTTTGTAATTAGTTTCTTTCGAGTGCATTTTCAATTAATTTCTTTTGTAAATATATGTGGTTACTTTGTACGTCATGACGGTTAACAAGAGTGAGGGTAATCACTGAAACATGTTAGATTATTATTGTTACGGAAACTGATATTTAATCATAGACAACCATATGCTACAGTTTCAAAAGTAACAAATCGTAGTAGGTTGAAGATTCTGATATGCAACGAAGATAATGCCCCCACAAATTGTACGAATAATGTTATTTATAAAGAATTCTTTTAAATTTTGCAAAGCAAAAATGTTTTGTACCTTAAAATAATATAATGTCTATTAGATATCACTTTCTAGCATTGAAAATGATCTTAATTTAGTAACGAAAATATGAAACGTGCAACACACATGAGTGATAAAACAATGGGGTTCTAGTGACACCGAAATATGGTGACACTCCAGTGTCATTGTCATTTTAGGATACTCCCGGTGCTCCATATGTAAAATTGACGATACCACCTAACTCATCCCCCAAACCCCTCATCCTACCCTAGGCACACAGTTTCAAAAAAAAAGCAAAAAAAGAGAGAAACAAAGAAGCCTAGATGAGAGGCACATAAAAGTTAGATAATTTCTTTTGTTGTTAAAATTTTTGTATGTAAATGGTGTTAATTTATTTTATTTCAAACACTTTCACTTCACTTCGTATGGGCCTTTTTTTTCTCTTTTTTTTCGTTTTGTAATTTGATATGTATGCCCGCCAGATGTCTCTGCCCATTGCTGTTCTAAACACATAAAAATTTGATAGTTCTCTATTTTTTTTCAATATTTTTGTCTTTACTTCTCTCTTCATAGCCTTGAATGACACCTACAATTTCATTACTTTAGGTTTGTGGAAACGAACACAATTTCTTGCTCTTCAAAGTTTTGTCTCACACACACACACACTCTCTCTCTCTCTCTCAAACGTTAGTTTGATAGTTTGACTTCAAGGAGTTTAGAAACATCATTGAATAGGTAATAATGGATGGTTGAAATTTGTTTATGAGAGAAATATTCAGGCAACATATTTTTTCTTAAAACGTAAAAGGTGATGTATGAAGTTTATTTTGAAATGGACAATAAAGAAAAGTGTAAAGCTTATTGTGACACACACACATGAATCACTATTTTCAAGTAGGGGTGAGGTCTACCCTCCAAAGCATACCAGTGGGAATATCACCATCCCACAAATACCCAAACCCCCTGGTTGACACCAATCCCCCGATTCACAATATCGTTTCAGAATTATTCCTTCTCCCTAAGTGACCATCAACACTACCCTACAACCCTAAAGCCATTCCCTAGGCTCCAAGCCCAACAAAACATGGTGGGGCCATAATGGTGTGGTATATTAACATCCTCAGCCTCATTTCATTATTTATGTGTTTTCACAAATTTAAAAAAAAATGCTGAGGTCAAAGTTTTGTGGTAGGAAAAAGGTTAGAAAATAGAAAAAAGTTAGGCCATGTGGTTGAAAATTTAATTGAAAGAGAGAGAATTGGTATTATTATGAGATAGGATATATATACATTTGTACACATACGTATTTACTATATACTTAAACTTAAAGGAGTTCAATTGATGGTGGAGATCACACACACACACATATCTGTGTGTGTACACATGCGTATATGCTTAGACTAAAAGGAGTTCTATGGATGATGGAGATTTTATATATATCTGTGTGTGTGTATATATATATATGGGATTGACTCCAGTGAGATGACACCTTACGGTGAGATGACATCCTACGGTCAGATGACGCAAAGCTCACCAAGGACAACTACAAAGCTCACCAAATTGTAAGGCAAAGCACACCACATTTTTTCAACAATTTGAATTTTTTTTGAAAAAATAAAATCAAAGAAAGAAGTGCTGACTGGACTTTGACCGTTGACTGAGACCTTTCACTATCACCTGCCGCCGCCAGACACCGCCGGTCGCCGGAATCTGCCGCCTCTGCCGGTCACCAGAATCCGCCACCGGCTGCTGCCGGCCGCCGGAATCCGCCGCCGGTCGCCAGAATCTGCTGCTGCCCCGCCGCCGGTCGCCGGCAACCACCGCCGCTGACCGGTGGTTGACCGGTGTTGCTATTTATTTTTTATTAATTTTAAATATTTAAAATTAAAAAAATAGTGAGTTTTGATGTTCAAAGTGGTGAGCTTTACTTTATTTCTAGGTGAGCTTTGCATTGTCCATTGGTGAGCTTTGTAGTGTAGTGTGGTGAGCTTTGCGTCATCTCACCGAAACATGTCATCTCACCATAATGTGTCATCTAACTGGAGTCAATCCCTATATATATGTGTGTGTGTGCATATATATATATATATATATATATATATATATATGAATGTATGTGTGTGTGTGTGTGTGTTTATATATCATGCATCTAATGTGTTCCTTGTAAAATTCATACAATTGCTGACTTCAAATGTTGCCCTTCTGTGTGTGGAATACTAATTTTGTTTATTGGCTGGTGATTGTGGAAATTGTCTAGGGTGGACCGTTTTTAGGATGTTGATTTCCACAAAGGATGATGATTCCATTGTTTGTTTCAAGGGTCAGATTTTTCACCTCAAATCTGAATATGAGAAGAAAAATGTTGAAGTTAATCTTCTTCCTGTAGCTACTGGAGTTGGAGTTGTAAGTAGAGCTTAAATTATACATGACATCTTTCTACAACACATTTCTGTTCATAATTCTCTTTTTTGAATTGATTATGCTTCGGCATGGATTGGGGGAAAGTTGGTTAGGGTTAGAGTGTTAGATTTTTATGATTGGTCTCTCTGATTTTGCTGCCTGTTTTTAAGTTCAGCATGCAATAGTTTTTGTTGGTGGTATATTCCCTTGAATGCTAGACATTCTTGGCGGTCTTGAAATCCTGCCAAGTCCTCTGTTCTAAGTCAAACTTTGATTTTAAAGTTCTTTTTAAATTTTATTCAAGGTAGTCAAACTCGAGATTTTACGTAGGATCCATATACCAATTTAATATTGTAAATCGTAAGATCCTACACAAACATACACACAAGTCATTCTGAAATTTTAAAAATACAGAACACATATGTATTAATATAGTAATAAGTAGTGTTTACTAGGCAACTCAATTCACGATTTTCTTTTCCCTTTAGGCAGCATCTGTGGAACCCATCAGATAATGTGGAGGATCATTCTTATATGTCGTTTTCAAGTCACTTCACACTAACACCCATCACAGTTGCAAGTTGGGAATTTCGTCACAATTGTGATCTTGTCCCATGAGTTTTTCAATCCTCCATAATACTTGATATTTTACGTGCAACCTTCAAGCTCTGCATGTAGCTGTTACATGTGTCTCCATTGGCGATTGACTCTTTCTTTGATGTGATTCCATCAAAGCTTGGTCGCCTCGACTTGTATGGTAGAGGATTATAGTCCGTGATCACAGTATCACTAGATGACATTCTCTGTCCACTTGACTTCCAATTCTCCGCATTCTTGTTTGAGACATCCATCACTGATGCAAAAAATTATGTTTGCACGAAGAGTAATTCACATTGCGCGGGGCCACTCTTCACAATCATTACCCATCACTTTGACCTAGGTGATACATTGTCGGTTTCGACTCCTAAGCGCCACACCCAACTTTCTCTTCTTTCTCCATTGCTTTGCCTAGGGTGGCACCGGAATTGATGTTCCCATTGGACACGGTTGTACGCGGTGGTTCAGCTGGCAAGATCTTATCGTTGGAGAAGGCTCATGCTGTTTTGTTGATTTGATGTCTTAACGCCTGTCATTCTGATCCCCCCCCCACACACACACCATCCCCCAATATGTTTATTACATTCCTTTTTTTCTTTGTGAGGTACTGCCTCCTTTTAAGGTAATGCACTATTTTTTTAATGATGGTTTCATAGAGTAATATTGGTACTAGAGAAAACGAAATTAACTTTTTTCATATCGGAGTTGAGGTTGTATGTGATAGTATCTGAAATTGTTGTGCATAGGTTATGGTATCAGTGAAAAGGGACTCTAAATGCTCCAGTACTCATGCTCTTAATGCTTTTGATGAGGTTCACGAAAATTATTTGCAAACCATGCCATATGAGAACTGCTTAACAAGGCTACTTGTACCGGCATCGCATGCAAAAAAGATGATTATTTTCCACACAATCTTCCCGGATCCGTATAGACTCTATGTGTATCTAACAGGTGTGTAATAAGCTGGTGTGGCATGTTCTCCATTCCTATGTTATTATTAACTCTGCCAGTTCTTATTTTAACTTTCAGTTATCTTAAACGATTGCATACTCTATGTAGATAACATGCCAGTTTTTTTCCCTGGTGATGTGATTGTTGAAGTGGAAGGGAAGCGTGGGGAGGTACGCGAGACAATTGAATCAATTGTTTCGTATTTGGAGGATTTTGAGGTTGATGGGAGAATGATGCCAGAGCTTAGAGCTGGGGTAAGTTCGGGTGCAAAAGTATATATGCATACTGGATTAGATATATTCTCTGGCATATAGTCACTCGTGTTTTTTTATGCACATGGATATTCTTTGGCATATAGTCCCCTTTTTATCTACAAATGTACAGAAAGTCATTCGTTCACCTTTTTTCGAAAAAGTTGCATGTGGAGCATATTCAGGTGTGAAGCCTCGAAGAAAGTTTATGGTGAGTTCCCTTTCTTTTTTAGTTGATTATGTAGATAAACAAATCACGGTTACACTGTACAACTTTATTCCCAAGTCTGAGAGAGTGTGTCGCAGCATGTAGATTAACCTTAACTTTGCTTGTTTTGTAGATCAAGGAGTCCACACGAATCCCTTTGGCATATTTTGATTATTTCATTGGCAAAAAAGGGGAAGCTATTAAAAAGATATGGGAATCAAGTCCGACGGCGTCAGTGTACTTTGACACATTTACCGCTAAAGAGGTATACATATGTATTGAGGGAGAATGTGATTCGGAGGTCGAAGATGCTAAGGATGCGTTGGAGGTATGTACGTACATTTGTGGAATACACATTATTTGAGTAACTCAATAGAATGAGAAGAGAGGGTTTAAATTAGTTGGGTGTTGATAAAGAGAGAGAGAATTATTTATTTATATATTTGCAGGAGTTGATTCCCAAGGACAAAAAGATTGTAGATGGAAAGCACGTTTTTGAGGGTATGTTTTGCATGGAGGGAGGGTTCGATATGGAGGAAGCGTATGCGTATGGTTGGCCTACCTCGTAGGAAGAGGAAGAGGATAATATTGAAAGGCAGAATGGTGTGATCTCAGATAGGCAAGAGGAGAATGTGGAGGCAATATTGAAAGGCAGAATGGTGTTTCCTTATTGCCTCCACCTTCTCCTCTTGCCTATCTGAGATCACACCATTCTGCCTTTCAATATTATCCTTTTCCTACGAGGTAGGCCAACCGAGTTGCTGAAGAAGCGGTTTGGGAGTCAATCCACCTCAATTTTAAAGAGATGGTGGATGCATGGAGAATAAAGGAGATGGGTGCTGCTGCAAAAAAAGCAGCAATGGGTCAATTCAACTTAGGGCCTTTAGTGTGTTTTAGTAATCAGTATGGTATTTTTTGGTTTGATAAGAATTGTCTGATTTTATTAGGTGGGACATGACAACTGTACTATAGTTATGGAACTAGCTCATGTGATATGATGCTTTGTCTCGTAACTTTTTGTTTTGATTGGGTTATGGTGAATGAAGGAATGCATCAAAGTTTCAAAGAGTAAGAAGAAATTTCAATGTATAGTATGTTGTCAAAATTCAAATGGTCAGACTTTGTCTATAGTAAGAAATAATATGAGCTTCATTTATTTCTCTCACTGTCCCAAAAAAAATTATTTCTTTTTTAAAATGTTCCAAAAACAAGTTCCTCTTTCTTTTGCTTTTTAGAAAATTTTGAGTGATTCACAATCTTTTCTTCCTTTGCTTCATTTTCAGCCACATCTTTTCCTCTCTTTAAGCTTTGTGTTGACTTAAAGTGAGTCTATTTTTTAGAACGAAAATAGTACTCCGTACTAAATATGGAATAAAATAAAGGCAGGGACCTACTCACGAGGCAATGTGTAAAATCAATTCGAGGACTATTTAAATTTATTATGTAAATGTTATTAACGTGATCGTTTGTGAGAATAATCTGATTGTCACAAAGGCATTCTCCCATGCCGTGTCCATAAGCAAAAGTGACATAATTACCTTTGTCACGCGTTTGACTATTACAAAGCAAATTATACTTGAGGCCTTTGACTAACATCACGTTCTATTTTGAAAGCTACACGGCTACACCTTTAACAACAATTTTAAAATTAATGATTTTACATGTGTTGTTGTCCCTTATATATAACATCACCACCATCAAAAGTTTTGAATAAATGAAAATTGGATGCTATCAAATTATATTTAGCCTTGATCTCTTTTTATCTTCTCTCGAAAATCATACGTTTGAAGTCCGATAACGTATCAAGGTCGGATTCCATTATTTCGATCTCTTCCTTCTGTTGTTTTTTTCTCTCTTTCTCTTATTGTCTAATATTGAACACCCTAAGTTGTTCAACCATTGCCCGACCCATATCATCGTGAGAAGAAACAGAGCCAGGCCTTCCAGAATCTGAGACAATGGATTTCGCATTCTTTCTTCCGGTCGGCCGTGGAATGAGGTCCACGTCATCGGAACCGTCTAAGTTGAAGGGAGGCCTTCGTTCGGACGAACCGATAGTGTCATCGACCTTAACCTTGGCCTCGACGGAGGATCTTTTCTTTGAGGATCCGGCCTCGGAATTGTTGAGTTGTTGCCATTTCGGTGAATGGCTTAAAATTCTCCAAAGATCGACGGACACCTTGCCTTGGTGCTCGTCATCTTGGTACCGGGCCGTGGCAAGCCGGAGAACATCATCGTCGCTCAGGACCGAGAGCATTCTTCGTAAACTCCGGTAAACTTTTGGACTTTACGGTAGATGTGACCCCCTTTCGAATGGAGTTGGTCTCGAGTACGGCACGAGGCGTCCTTGTTCTTCGCCACAATGAAGTTCTTCTCGATACGATCCCACATTGCATCCTTCGTTTGCTCCAAACCTTTAAAAAGTATATAAGTGAACAAAACTTTTTTTAACACAAATATATAAATAAGATCACAAATATATTAGGGAACATATAATTTTTACCAACTATAGAATGCTCGAATACGTCAACCCAAGCCGACATTAACAAGGATTCTTCTGCCGGCGTCCACTTTTGGATTGACCGTGCCACCTCGATCATCGGTTTGTCGCCTTTCGCTTTGTGACTCTTCCGGCGTGCACTTCTTTTGGTTCTCGATGATTCAAGTTGAGTCTCCAGAACTGACTCCGGGTCATCGAGGTTCACCGATGTTTGCGTTTCGAACAACACCGAATTACTCTCGTATTGATGGTGGAGCCACATCGCGTACTTGTTTGGCTCGAGAGCGTCGGGGGAAAAACTGGAGGGATTCATGTTAACAAAAATTGAAGAAAGGAAAGATGTGAAGAAGATTGAGGATTGGAGTTTGATATTTATAAAAAAATTCAGTTAAAGACTTTTTTTGGGTGTAACGGCTAAATTAGTCGTGGGGGGGGGGGAATCAATTACGTTAAACGTGTGACACTAGGCTGTGATGTCCGGATGATGCCACAAGGGGGCGGTGTTTTAACACCGTGGAGGCATTAAACACCACATGGCACCCCCCCGGCATTAAGAGCATTTCCATTGCTCTAAGGGCCAAGGCATTATCGTGCGTCTTATCGAAGATGAGAATCAGCACGCTTGCTTCCCTTGAATGCTGAAAGAGAGAAAAACGATATCCATGCTGAAATGAAAGGCATTCATACTACTCCCTCCGTCCCAAAGTATATCTCACATTTGCTTTTCAGCAGTCGCGGGAACTTTTGTTTATTTCTACGTTTTCATTGGTTATTTGATAAAATAAAATATTCTTGACACCTCTTATTTCGAAGAACTTTTAATGTAGTTTTTTGATATGTAAATTTTATTTTTTATTTCTATACCAATATGTAAATAAAATAAATTGAAAAAACTTAATATTTTACCTTGATAATAGAAATGTGAGATATATTTAGGAACAAAGGGAGTATTAAAAAGATGACAATAAGATAATGCAACTTGCTAATAATTTTTCGGGAAACTGTTGTGGTTAAAAAAGATAATGAAAGGCATTAATTCTACTCCCTCCCTCCCATTTAATACTCTTTATTTGACTTGACCCGGAATTTAAGATAAAAAATGATACTATGTGATTGAAAGTGTAGCAGAGGAGAGAAAAAATATGAGCCACAAAAAAGTTACCAAAAAAGGAAAGAAGAAGATTAATTTGGGACACCCCAAAAAGAAAATAAATTTTTTTGAGTCTTTCAACCTTTCCCTGATAGTAAATTTTTTTGAGCGTCATGTCTCTCGAGGAGTGGACAACAAGTCAATTTCTATAATTAGATGAATGTTCCAATTCAACGAGTTTGTCTTCTCACAGCACGAGGGGGATGTAACACCATAACTCGCGCAAACCAAATTACTCAAATTATGGTGTCAGAAAGGTCTGGAATGACCAAAGCATTTCATAATATATTTCAATAATTACATAATAAAAGTATATAATTTAAAAAACATCTAAAATATCAAAATTCTTTTATAAAAAAGTAGCGAAAAATAATTGATAAAAATCATAAAATGTTGAACCAAATGAATTTAAACTTATACTCCGTATCTTGAATTTGTCCACCATGCAAACATGATCATGAAAGGGTGCATATACATTATCTTTAAAGAAACAATATCAATGGTAAAACATCACTCTTAATATTTTCTCATTTCGCCTCAATTTAAATCATCTGTTTCAATTTTACTTTACCCACCATTTCAGACTATTACATATAGAGGCTAGGCAGCATAACATCAAATATCAAACTGTTTATTGTACAATATAATCTACAAATAAAAGACTCAGTCTCCATAAAATTACAAATTCAACACATGTTTTTTCATCCTACAAAAAATGCATTTCCATTATGGAGCATTACACAGAATAATTAAAGATATGAATAATCTTCAAGTTATTGAAAAAAAAGGAACTCCATGGAGTGCATATGAAGATAGTTAATTTGCTACAGCATGTACTCCCACCTCTTTGGGTGCAATGAATTATGGAACGTCTTATCGAAGATTAGAATCAGCACGCTTGCTTCCCTTGAATGCTGAAAGAGAGAAAAACGATCTCGATGCTGAAATGAAAGGCATTCATACTATTAAAGATGACAAAAAGATAATGCAACCTGCTAATAATTTTGCAGGAAACTGATGTGGTAAAAATGGATTTAGATCTAAGAGTGATTTCATATACTTTTTCAATGCACTATTACAAGTTATCAACTTTCTGTATTTTTATTAATGGGTAATTAAATATATTGGCAGAAAAATCAATTTGAAGACAACAGAAACTTACACTTCACAGATGTTACTGAAGCTGAAACGCGACCTTCCTCCACTTGCTGAGAAACACTCTGAGCAACTGAATTTACAATATGCATTTTATCATAATATGCAAATAACCCATTTTTCTCTAAATCATGATATCACATTTCATTATGTTTGAACACAAATGAGCAAAACACAAAAGGCGTACCAGGACGTTGATGACCTACTGCATTTTGATGACCATGAAATGCGGCCTTCTTGAGTGGTTTATCAGAAGAACCCTTCCTAGAGTTTACTCTAGATTCCTCATTGTCATCCTCTCCTTCAGCAACCCCTGATGAATTTACTATCACATCAGTCTTGCTCTTTCTGGCAAACTTAAGTAGTCTCTTGAATCCTTTTGGCACATCCTTCTGATACACCACAGTTGGCGGGTTCTCGGCATTTCCCCACTCCGTAGTAGTCTCAGGTTCGCTACCTTCCTCCCTCAGCATTTGAGAAAGAGAATGGCGTACTCTTGGACTAGCAGCTTTCACAGGGCCCACTTCAGCAGAAGAGGAGTTTCCGGTATTGATTTCCTCTATTTCTTCCACCCAGGCAGTGGGGGGAATGTCGGTCTCTTCTTCTTCAACCTCATTTTTTATTTGGTTTTCACAAAAATCATTTTCATCTTTCGTGGGGAGTATATCAGAACTTTCTGTTTCTTCACACTTTGAGGGGCTGTTTGTCTCAGTCTCCGTGTGTGGATCAAGAAGCCCATCACAATGTTGATCGATGGGTCCAGTTAAAATAGGATCTTTAACCAAATCAACAGAGTCCCTCAAAGACTGCTCTGGTGGAGACACTTTCTTTTTCGTGACAGGACTCACACCAGATCCTGGCCCAGAGCCCTTACGGAGAAAAGTCTTTGGTTCTTTTGGGGTCTCCTTTGACTCAAGAGGTACCACACTGCTTTTCTTGGATACCTTGCTGTTATAAAGTTTAGATTTTGCTGGGGAATCAAGATTTGCACTGACTGGTTGAGCTTTGGTCTTAGCAGATTTGGCCACTTTGGTTTT